GGTCGTCATTTTCTCTGGCGAGTGGAACAATATCTCCAGGCTGGGTCCGTTGCCACTTTCAGCGCCAACTGACCAAACTAAACAGCAAGTGGGAAGCAGGGAGCGCCCTTACATTTACAACAGCTTGCGATAGGCTACTTTGCGTCTTCTGGGCAATGAACTGTCCAAGTCTCGCGGGAGGGGGGGTTGTCAAAATTGGCGGCCCTAGGGTGCAACCCCGCAAGTAGCAAACAACATGGCACACAATTGTTTGCGTCATAATTGCGTCAAATGTGTGTCTGATGCCTGGCTTTGCGGCCACCAACGCTGAAGCTTTGCCGGATCAACCAAATCCAACCAAATCCCGCTCTGCTCGTTTGCCTCTCCAAAACCCTGGCTGCAATTGGTTCACTCTCCCATACGTTCCAAGCTTTGTTTGCAGCCACCCACTAAAAATGAACAGAATCAAACAACTAAACAACCAAAAAGCACGTGCCGAGAATAGTGAAGACTTTACGGAATACCTCCAAAAGGAAAGCAGCGGGGAAAGACCGTTAGGCCGACATCTTCCACCCTCACAAATGTGTGTTCTGGGCCCCGCACCAGTTCTCGACGGCATTGAGCTCCAAAACCTGTTTCCCGACACTTGTTCGCAAGCTGGAAACAGGTTTACGTTGAACTCTTTCCAGCACCCGACAACTGCCAAAATCACATGCCCAAAAACCCGCCCGAAAAAGCAGTGCTTGGGGTGCTGGACTAAGCATGGATCAACATCGGAAAACCAAAACGGCAAAGGTCGATTCGTGTTAGGCAACTGAGCACGTCCAAAAGCTGAACTAAGGAATCTCCTCCAACTGCTCCGGGCCAACATGGGCAAAAACAAGGGATCCCCAATTCGAGGACACCAATGGCGGGCTCGTTGCACTGAGCTCGCCGGGACAAACCCCGTTCTTGCGGCTCCTGATCCTTTCGCAAATGACTCATGACCCGATTCTCTGCACACCCCCCATCAATGGCCCAGTGGAGAAGTGACCAAATTGCACAGTCCAGCCAGGAAACCAGAAAGGTGTTGCGCTTCCCTTCAACGTGTTCTTTAAGCCATAGGTGGCCGTATGGAAAAATAGATGGCCTGGTAAGTGGAATCAACCCATCAAACCAGCGCAATCTAGGTTTTGTCGAACCAACCTAAAAAGGACACGTTTCAGGCGAACGGGATACGGGAGACGTCTTGAAGGGGCCGTCAGACCACCACACGTCGGCACCCTGAGCGCCCCAGTGGGCGCCTGGTCTTGCTTGGCATCGCGCACTTCCTCAAAAACCAAGGCCCGCTGGCATCCGCCACAGGTGATACCGGTTTATCTAGGAAACGGTTTGGATGCGCCTTTGGTGGATACCTGTTCTTCCCCCTGTTGGTCCTTTTTTACTATTCTTTTACTACTCTTTTTTCCCTTCTACAGGGGTGGAACCACAAAAACCACATCCAAACCGTTTTCTAGAGTTTAGGCAGTAACTTCCTAGACCGAATATATACAGGAAACCCCCTGCAAAGTCGCGCACATGTGCGCTATGCATTGCGTGCCTGGACATGCTGTTTAGCCCTCCTCAAAACACGCACGCATCAAGCAATGCCATAGACGTGCCGTACTTACTGCCATTCAACTTCATCATGGGGCCCGAAATGGCACGTTCTACCCCTCGTCGGTCCTTATAACTGCAGACACATGCAGAGCCGGCCTCTAGCCTGAGAACAAATCGGGACTTCACCGCATCCCTGCATGTTGCAGGCCAAGCAAACTGCCACTTGCCGAGACACCGCAAACATTATGCATTGTCAGGCCTTGGAAAGCTCCCACTTAAGTCGGTGCAAAGCTGGCTTTCAACAAGGTGGGTGTGCTTGAAGCGGGTTCAAGCGGGAGTCCAGCAATATCATTGGCAAATTGATGAATGACATCCCTGGTGTTTGATTCCGGGGGCGCAACCCATGTTAGACCGCGCACTGTCCTCAGATTCCCTGCTAAAAGCTGAACTTTTGGTCGGTTAAACATGGAAACTCCCACCAAACCAACTAAACGCAACTCAAAACCTAAGGAATCGGATCCCTGGAAACTGCCATTGTAGAGAGAAAATCCGGGTGGTGGAGCAGCACCCGCAAAAAAAAAAAGTCTCTTGCATCAGCCAGCCCTGTCACCTGACTTCAGCTCCGCGCTCCGATTTTCTGCTGCTCTAAGCCTCCGAGTACGCAAGACCTGGGAGAGGTGAGGGCCATTCTTAGGTCTACCCTCCCCGCTAACAGAAGGCAGTAGATCAATTTCCTCTTCAAGGGATCCCCCATCAGGCGCCCTATTTGTGGGAGTAAGCGCATCCCCCGCGGAGCTTTGCCTTTCGACCCTTCTGCGGAAACCAAGGCCTAAAGTGCAGAAACTCTCATTGGCCGATTAATTGAATTATTACACCACTGTCAAAGTCACCCCCTAAGTGGCAGGTTAAAGGGAAACCACCCAGTTTCTGACTTTGATTGCCCACAGAACAGTCAAAATAATGATGCCAGTCTCAAACTTGCGCTAATACTCTCTTTCAGGGGTCCCATGTCGCTCCTTGTGCAGCTTTTCTTGGGATCCCAAGTGTCAAAAGAAATATGGGCAGCATCTGCCAATTGCCGAATTTTAAGATGGTTTCCTCCACCCCCAAAGGATATGTGCTCTTTATAACGTGGCAATATTGTGGCTGAATATCCCACAGCAAAGTCTAACAATGTTGACAAATCGTTCGCTTCATCTGATGGAAAGGAACCCTGAATACATTGGTGGCAGTATGGGTGTTCTCTGGTTTAGTGGCCTCCAAATGTTAAGCCAAACGCCAAAATCTTTTTCAGTGGAACCATGCCAGAGTCGAAACCTTCCAAAAAAGAAACACTGGGAACGGATCCGACCCCCTCAAAGCGAACTTGGTCCAAAAGAAACATGAAATACCGAGACAAACACATCCTCCAGGCAGCCTCCTTTAGGCCACTCCCCCCATTGCGCTTGTTTCGCCCTACTCTGGGGGGCACACAGTGATCCTCAGCTTATGATTCATATTTCGTCGACCTTCAAGATGGTCCGTGTGGGGGTTTGATCAATATTCCGTTCGGCCCCCAATTGACCCTGGTAACTTTTCCCATATCGTCTTAGTGGTTTTATCCAATGGTCGTCTATAAAGGACCTTTTCAACACCCCCCAAATTTGTAGGCAACCTTAAACATTGTAGACTTTCAACTTTCAGTGGCTTTCAGGGGTTCCATGTGCATCCATCTGCCAGCCATACTTTCAACTTTCAGCGCTTTCAGGGGTTCCATGGTGAATCCATCTGCCCATTCTCCCTGCCCGTTCGGGTGGCGTAACGGTTTCGCCGCGCCGGAACCCAGCTCCTGGCGTGGTTCCGGTCGCGCCGGCCGCTTCCCGCATGCACCAAAGAACTTCGCTGCTTGCAAAGGGAACACGCAGAAACACCAAGGAATACCAAAAGCCCCAGCGCCCCCGAACAACTGTTATTTTTTTGGTTTGTTTGTTTTTTTTCAAAACCGTTTTTTTGTTCCCATGTCCAAAACCCCAAGTACTGATGCGGCTGGGAGTGCTAGAGGTGCTTTGTGTTTTTGTTCAAAGCTGAGCTGGTGAGGAAACAGAACAGAGCCCAAAACCTGTCGTGAATAGCAGAATCCCCAATTCAACTTGTTTGGTCCTGGAAGAAATGGCCATCGGTTGATCACTTGCAAACCCAGCCAGAAACCTCAAAACAGCATTCGGGGTACCCACCTACCTGTGTGAAAAACATATGTTGTTGAACTTGGATGAAATGGCCATGTAACCGGGCAGAAAACCTGCCTCTTACCAAATCGCCAATCTTAATCGTGATCGCGAGCAATTCAACCGCTCCTTCCGCAGCATGGGAATTGCCAGCAGGAGGCTCGATAGCTGCCTTGTCACCACGCATGGATCACTGCAGGGTGCAATCAAACTTAACATGGACTGAGTCGAAATCAGAACCTGGCACAAACGGGGTCTACCCAAAAACATGTAAAGAACTAAGACGGCGACCGCGCCCATTTGTGGTTGGGATTGCGCCCCACGAACCTTCACTTTATCTACGAGGGGTTTGAAGGGGCTCCATTCATAGCCACTTCCTCTGAAATCCCTCCTGCCCGGCTGCCCAAACTCACCTGAATGAACTCCCCTCAATCCCGACTGCTCTTGCAAAATTCTGCCGAAGTGAATTGGGGAGCTGGATAGGCTACCTTGGCTACAGATTGGCCAAACACATGGAATGCCAACAGTTCGGCTTTGGTTCTCTGAGGGTGGATCTGCACATTGTAGAATAGTCCAAAACCTTCGTACGCCTCCGTGTCTTTCAAGTAAGTAACTGCCGCCCACAAAGTGATGGCAGCGCAGCACAAGCTAGCCAGGTTGAAGTGAAGTGCAGGGCCGCGTCTCTCTCAGCCCTACCTGCTTACGCCACAAGATCAAAGACGTAAACAAGTTAAACGGCTTGGCCCAGTACCTTCCTCCAAATGGATTCTTTAAAGAGTCCAAACCACCAAGCTTACCCTCCGTATGGATGGTTTAAAGAGTCAAAACCGCCAAACTGACCCTCCAAACGGACAGATAGAGTTAACACCACAAAACTTACCCTCCAAATGATGATTTAAAGAATTCAATCCACCCAAACAATTTTTGTTGAGAGCCCCTCAAAATATGTAGCCTTCCTTGCACGTTGCCACGGCACCTGACAGGGGTTCCCTCATGACACTAATCTTCCAGGTATCTGCCAACTGGTGCCTTCTGTAAGTGGGAAGAAGGGCACCTACTTTTAAACTACTTCCCAAATAGCTACTTTTTTAGAACCCCTCCCCCCCCAACCACTACTTTCTCCCATATCCAAAATCCCAGTCCAAAAAGCTGTTGCTGGTACTTCCACTTTTTTGAGAATCCGTAAAAAAATGGAACCGCTTTAAGACGCCGTGGATTTTGTTTTTGGGGGGTTGCTCTTTATCCAAGGCGCAGCAGCAGCAGCCAGGCATTGAGTCGCCCGAAGGATCCGTTTCGGCCCAGGTCAGCGAGAGGCGTCACCTAAGTCACGGCGTCGAGGCAGCACCCATGGGACGACCGAGCCTCAAGAACCCCCCGCCATAGTCTGCCTTCAAGTGGGGGGGGGGGGGGGGGCAATGGGGAGCAAAAAATGGGTTTCCAGTTGGATCCCTTTTAAACCAACCCCCTGAAAGATCTGAAAGACACTTCTGCTCCCACCCCCCCCCGTATGATGGACACTTGGGGGTGCGACCTGATTCATTTCGGGTATTGGTTCTTTAGGGTTCTGCAACAAGAACTCTGTGCAAACATGGCACCCCCCGCACTGGAGGTGTGGGACATGGTTGTGGCCACTTTCTGTGATATATCGAATCCCTTTGTGATAAAGTCATGAGCATGAGATGTACTAACAAAACGACTTCGCGGAAAGGGGCAACCATTTAGCTTCTCGGTGGTTTCAAATTGGTGGCGTGAAGGTTCGGAGTGGTTTCCCATTTACCCTCCGCAAGACCCAGGGTTTCAAATTAATATAAACCACCAAATAAGGGATACCATACCCTTCAACATCACCCAATCAGCATACACTGCGGATGGACAAACTCGGACGGATGAAGCCCTATTAACCACCCACCAAGTGGTGGATTCCGTCCACCCCACTGTACCTTTCAAACTAAAGGGTAACCCCCAGACTGGTTGGAGCCCAGCGTGCACCTTCTACAAGATGGATTCGATGCTACCTCAGAGTTGCTGGAAGGACCGGAAAGCGCCTGGAGGTGGGTAAATTGGGCCCCGTGTCAGAATCATACCGGTTCAAGCCATTGTCACCATGGTCTGTCGTGGAAAAAACAACAACTTCCAAACAGACACCTCCAGTTTTGGTCTATAGTCCCCAAGCGCATTCCTTGAACACAGCTCCGAATCGTTCAACCTTACGACCTTCGTGTGAAAAAGAAGGTACCCTGTTGGTACTTGACGCGAAAAGGACCCCCAGCAGGGCATAGAAACGGCACCACAGGCCTGGGTCTTTCCGGCTGGGGACCTTGGAAGACCTGACTGCCGCGGTGCGAGGAAGCAGCAAAGGCCGGCAATGGCCGTGGGCATACCCCAGATGGTGCTGCCCCAGTTCACGCCGCCCTTCCTTGCGCTTGCGACTCCACTCGTCCGGAACGGAGGATAACACGACCGGATACCCGCTAAATCAGGGCGGAAATTCCCGCGCCGCCCGGTAGGTGGTTGGCGAGCCTCCTTTTTCATGCCTTTGGGTGTCAAAAGCCTTTCTTAGGGTGCAAGGGGTTCCTAGGGCCTTATTGCCCACCAGGACTTACAAACATGGTTACTAAGCACTAATGTCAACTCAGGATTCATCAACCTAGTGGATGTTTTGGGTGGCGTGCCCCCAAAAGAGAAGACACAAACACAACACAAAGAAGCAAACCTTTCAGGACCACCCCCTGAACACCGGCAGGGCTCGCCTTTTCACGGCAACAAAACCACGGGCATTTGTGGCCCGAGCCGCTTCGGCCCACCACACCCAAGGATTGCTAAGCGTAGCTTAGACCACTCCTGCAGTGCTTTTGTGATGTTTCTAGTGGATCCCACGTTAGTTGGTGTTTGAAGGGAAACCTTGGGGGGTCACTACTCACTTTCATGTGCCCAAGTATGGGAGTCTCTTTTGTTGAGGGAACCGATTGTTTGTTGGCCGCTTCCAAGGCAAGCCAAACGGTGACCGGTTTTAGGCCTTAAACTAAAGACACACACACACACACCGGGTGATTCCCCGAATCGCCTTTGTTAGGAATTTTAGCTGCCCAAAGGACCCAGAAATAAATGCTTGACCTTTTGGGGCCATGACCAGACATTGAGCAAGACGGGGAAACTAAGAGATCACAAGGTGGATCAATCCGCTTTGGGCAAGTGAGGTCAAAAGACAAACCTACCTTCTTGTTGATTCGCTTCAGTCCCATAAAAGAAAAAGCCAAACATCTCCAGAAGTGATGGATTCTCTTTCACGCCAACGGGAGAACATCAGGCCATGAGTCTAAAGAGTTGGAAGCGTTCCCCCATGATATTCAAAGGGTCCGGGACCAGAGGTCGCACCCCACTCAAAGGTCGCACCAAAGCATTCATGAAGTTCCCCCCATGAAGGTCGCACCCAAGTACATGGCCGTACCCAGGTCCAGGGCTCTTGCCGGCCACTCCCACCATGGAGACCGAGTAGAGCGGGCGAGAGAGCCCGAAGAGCAGAAAGGACGCCAGCGCCCAACCCACGCCCTGGCCATGCAGAAAGGCAGTGAAGCACAGGGAGAAGAGGCTGTAGCACAGGCAGAAGAGCCTCAAGCACTCGCTGGAGTGAAGTGGATTGACAGAACACGTCTGAAACTGCTTCCTCCGGGAAACAAGTAAGACCAGCTTGCTGCGGAACTCTTGGTACGCATCTTCGATTTCCTCTTGTACCATTGCAGGGGGGATATTTGTCGCTGAAATGGTCTTCCCGAAAAGCAAGCAGTCCAGGAACTCAAAAGAAAAAACGACTCCGAACAGAAGGGTAGGACATCGTTCTGCAAGTGTTTCGTTTTTTAATATTACGTCCGATTCGAGTGTTTTTGGGCCCTCCAAATGGGTCGTTGTTTTTTGGGCCCTTGAGGAATCGGTCGGGGTTCTCCATTGGAGGGTCCGGGGTCGGGGCATTGGAGGGGTCATGACCCTTAGGGCATGGTTTATTTATTTTCTCCGTCGGGCCGTTGAAAGGCAACCACTTGTGTTTTGGTCAAAAAGTAGGCGCCCAACATGGGACCCTGGCAGGTGAAAGACATGGACCGAAAACCCGCGGTCCAACTTGGTTCAGTTTGCTTGACACCTACCCAAATGGAACTTGGATACCAAAATTGGGAGGGGGGGGGGGGCAAATGGCAGATTGCCACATGGCTTCCCTTGCTACCCACATTTCTCGCAGTCCAAGCCGCAAGTACGCGGAAGTAGGCCCGAGGTAGTCCACCACAAGCGCAGCCACAGGCGCCGCCAGCACGCCGCCTTGCGACCAAAGCGGGTCCACACGGTTTGGAGGCCCAGGGTTCCACTTTTTGACAAGACAGGCAGACTTAAACCCAGGGGTGGTTGATTTCCTTACCCCTTAAAACTCCAAGCCCTGGGGAAGTTCTATTCTTTTACAGACATCTAGCCCATGTTACCCAAAAACTTTTAAAAATATTGTGTTTTTAAGAGGTAAGTGTCCCTCAAAGGAAAACTCCTGGGTTTAAGTCCTTGGGGTGGTCCAAAAGTGGAACCCTTGGAGTCTCCTTCTGACCCGTTGAAAATGGGGGGGTGCACTGCTCAAAAGAAAGGGGTCATGGCTCTGTGGTTCAGTCATGGAGACTCCAGGAGCCAAACACATCTTCCAAACACATTGTGTTGTTGTACTACTAGGTCCTCCAATAAAAAACATAAAATACGGGTACCCTTTATTCTGTAGTCTATTTTAGTAGGGGAACCCTCCCTCAAAAAAGTGTAAAAGTGCACTACTGGGGGACCTAGACTATAATGAATGGTCCAAATCAACCAAAAAAGTATGAAGTCCCAACTGCGGGAGTGAGCCATATTCGAGGGAGCTTCTGATCGAATGGGTTCTCGGAGTTCTGAGAACTTTCAGAGGGCGAGGGTACGTTGTAAGGATGTACTTGAGGGGTCCAAAAGGGGTTTAAACAAGAAACAGGAGGTCCTCAACAACCACCGTTGCACCCTCTAGGAACCCGGAAACGCTCACGCTGGAGGCTATCTGGGCCTGCACCAAATAGGCCCTGCGTGCGCCCATTTACAGTATTCCCTCTTACCCACTCCAAAATACCAAACCATCCGAGCCTCGCCAACTGACCGGGTACCAAGGAACGAAACCCTCGAGTTGAGAGCCTCCCAAGCCTCGTGAGCTGTTCATATGGGTTGAATTCGAAATGGGATCACAGGGATCTTCCCTGACCGCCCGCTGTTTCCGCCAAACATGAGGTTTTTGCAGGACAGAATTCACAACCGGGTCCACTCCACAAAAACACACTCAAGTACAGGAGTTCGGAGCTTGGTCTTGGGGCAAATCCCCTGGAACTTGTCTTTCAACCTACTGAAAGGTCCTCCCTACTGTGGATGGACGAAATCCTGGACCGCCTAAAAAACTCTGGAATGATGATTCCCTGGTAAATACCAAGAAACAATGGTTTCCCATGGTTTCAAAGTGGTGCAGGATTTTGTCTGTGGCTAGTTCTGCGACCTTTTGGTTGACCTTTCGGTTTCCCCTGGGTTCATGTTTAGTCATGAACCCAAAGGACCAATGTATTTCCATGGGGGCTGACAAATTTGGAATCATGGAATTCTCCAACTCGCATCCTCTCTCGGAAGCGAAGGAACCACCTTTGCGGACCGCAGCCTGCTTCTACAATGTGGGCTTGTTTTTTGTTTGGTTGGTGCCCCGTTTTTTGTTGGTTTAGAGTGACCCAAAGGACCCGTGTTGTACGCATTCCCCTCGTCTAGATACCCCTGCTTGTGAGCAACGCTTGGGGTAAGGTTGTGGGAATGAGGTCGGTTGCTTCCCATTTGTCTGTTGCCAACGAGCCTCTACTCGAGGTCAGCTTGCCGTGTGCAAAGAGTTTTCCCAAGTTACGAGGTGTTAAGCCACTCGCACCCTAAGCGGAGCAGACCTTGGTCGCGGGCAAGCCTAGCTTGCCGGAATCGAACCGCCAAGTGCCCTGGGAAGAAGTGGAGCCATGGATGACCCCCCAATTTTTGTTGTTGATATCTGTAGTCAACCCAAAAGGATCCTTATGAGCCCCGAGCAAAATTTATAGGTTGCTAAATCGCCCTTATGCTGTCCAGTATGGTGGATGAGGAATCGTTGGAAATTCGGGCCTTGACAACCTGTTGAAACAATTGAGTGAGCTTGGCATGTTTAAGCAGTGACTCCATCAACCGAAGAATAAAACAAGTAACCCATCATCCAGCCCTGATCAACTAGAAAAAACCTGCCCAGTGGATCCATCATCTAGCAGGTAACCATCTGTTTTCCTTCTAGCTGGCCGCTGCACTCACAGCTGTTTTGATCTGGGATCGGTCAGACGAGGCACCCAGTGGCAGCAGGAACGCGAAGCCACGATTCAGCATTCTTGCCCCACCTCGGCGAAAGCGCACCAATAGACTCACCAAAGTTCCTTGATCCCTCAAAAGTTCTGCAGCCGGGTGATATGGGTGTGCCTTGTTTGCGGCTTTAAAGCAAAGCCAACAGGAAAACATATTTTTGTTGGGGTCCCCTGAAAAAGAAACACTCATATGTGACATATGTGGCTATGATAACGCGCGACGCGCCACGAATCTTGCTACGGAGGTCTGTGACGGAGGCTCTTGTTACGCAGGTCTGTAACGGGATAACATTTCCTGACAAGCAGTATCAATGTAGCGCAGAACAACGAAGAGCAGCAGCTCCTGCTCGAAAGTCGTACAGTTCAAGCGCAGTACGCAAAGGTGGCCCGTGCAGCTCCAGCTTGATTGCTGCTATTCAACGCAAGCCAAGCTGCGGCAAAGAGGGCAGTCACTGGCCCGGTTTGTTCATCTGAGGTGTGTATAACGAGGGGTGTGTAACGAGTAACAGCGGGTCTTGTTACAGAGGTCTGTAACAAGGTCTGTAACAAATGTCCGCCGCGGCTCTGTTACAGACCCCTCAAAAGAATTCACTGCCATGTGAGCAATCCATGCTAGACGCTAAGCTAAAAGTCTGTGGGTTGGCGGGGAACCTCCAGGAATGTCCCAGTGGGAGCGGCTCCATGTCGGGGAGGTCCTTATCTTCAGACCATGACAAGGGCACACCAGAACATGTGGGTATGTGTCAACATAGGGTGCCCCCACAAAATGGCAATGCCTTCCGTTTGGTGTCTGGAGCACGTCTCTTTGGCTATTCGTTGGGAGTGCCTTTGTTGAAGGGTTGGCTTCAAGGGAACTGAGCCACTAAGCCCAGGCATCCCCCGCAACCGGGTCCCTTCCGCCCGCATTCCGAACTCCGGAGCCTATCCGGCACGGTCTTTGGCCGGGGAAAACGGAGCAGTTTTTTCGGGGTTTTATATATGGGTGTGTCTTTTTCAAGGCTACCCTGCAACAGGTGGCTTTCCTTTTAACGTCCCCCTAAAACCAGCCAAACAAAAAAGGGGGCTCCCCGAAAGAGACATCATTTGGGCCCTGACTCCACTGCCCAAACTCAGGTAGGCCGCATAGACCCTGCAAACAGGTTCTCCAGGGTGTCGGTCAAAATTACTTGCTTCCCCAAAAAAGGCACGGCAAGATTCGTGTGTCCCTCTGCTTCTTACGGGACATTTAGAGCTCGTCCCTTCTCCATGTCCCTCCCTACACAAATGTCCTCAAGTGTCAAATCAGGCCATTTCACCCACTCCTCACATAGACTCCCTTCACCAAGCGTTTCTTGGTGGCTTCCCGTCTGGGCATGGCTCGCCATCCAGTGCAAGGAACTCACCCCGTGCGACACCCCAGCCCCCTAGCTTCTGGGGAACGTGAGGGTATCACCGAAGCCGTCTTCTCACCAGGGTCCACTCTGGGTTGATTGTAAAGTGGCCCTGAAGGCAAAAGCAACAAGATTGGGCTTTCAAGGGGAAGCCACCCCTTTGAGAGACCTTTAGCCGTCTGAGAGCCAAACTATGTCATGCCAAAACTCGCAGATTTCCTCCTGAGAATCTTGAGACATTCAAGCCGGCCTTTTGGAGGTTCGAAACTCTCACGCCTCACGTGGAGGGTCCAATGATGCTTCGCTGCCCCCAAACCAAAAGGCGCGCAATGCTTGGAGAGTCCCCAAACCCCAGTACCCAGCGGATTGTGCCTCAAATGTTCGATCAAGTTTGTAAGTGGTTGGCCAGCTGGGATCTAACCCACCAACAGTAAGCATTTCTGCGCTTCAGGGAACTTACAAGTTGGTTAAGACCTGTCGCCAAGCGCTACCAACTCACCCGGGCAAAGAAAGTCTCTGGCAAAGCGGCTGACATCTGTCGCGACGGAGAGCTGTGAGTAGAGCGTGCCCATGAAGAAGCTCATCGCGAGCCTAAACGCGGCCGCATGTCGACCGTCGACCCTGGAAATAAAGAGCTTCTTGGATGTTCCCCCAGAGCGAGTCGTTAGCCACTTGGGCTACACCCCACTAGTAACAGGGTTGGTCCCCACTTAAGGGACTCATAAGTGATTATAGCACAGGCGTGAATCCATGTTGCACCCTTTGGGGCTGGATTCTCACACATACGATTAATGCATGGGCAACCAACACCAGCCTCCATGTCAGTGGTGAGTCAGCTGGAAAACCTATTAACAGGGTTGGCTCCACTTGGGGGGACTCAGAAGTGGCTTGTAGCCTAGGCTACCAACTTGGCCAACAAATGTAGACTATGACAATATCGAATATGCATATATATATATATATATCATGCGTATATATATATATACAGTGTAAAAAATGTGGATATATAATATATGCGTGTATTAAAAAAATATGTATATACATATATATATATATATGCATTTCCTGCCTGAAGACATCAAAAGGAAACAAGGCCTGCAACCCGCCTTTGCCCTCCACCCACGGCCGCAGCGGCTCCGGAGCCGATTTCTGGGATCGACCCCAAAGCTAGCTGGTCCTCAACCCTCAAACTACCCCATCGAAAAAGTCAACTCACAAACCCCGTTAAAAGGGAAAGAACCTATCTTTAAGTTTGAATTTTCAAGCCCAGGTTGACTTATTCAGCTTCGTGTTGACCCATGAATCAACCCGGTTGAATTCATCCCTCGAAAAGAATCGGCCGTCCTAACTTCCATTTGCCGCTTCAGTCCCTGGAGAACTGAGAACGATTTCCAGTAGTAGATTCCTTTTAACACCAACAAGGGGAACAAACATCGCTTCAGCAAATGCACGCAAAGGTTGCATGCCCAACAAATGCCCGTGTAAGAGGGCTTTAAAAAGGCACCTTGCACAAGTTTCAGAAAATCGACCCCTGCTGTCAAAACTCGCCCCCCCTCCCCCCAACTTCACTGAAATAGAAAGTGGTGCTTCTTACTAGTTTCCAAAGACAAGATCCGGTCGGATCGAATTAGCGCAAGGCTTCCGTCAACGGGTCTTAAGGGGATTTCGGGCTGTCACTTTGGCGCTAAGGAGTGAAGGGGACTGAAGGGGACTGAAGTGAAGGGGACTGAAGGGGACTGAAGGGGACTGAAGGGGCCTGAAGGGAACTGAAGGGAACTGAAAGGGCCTGAAGTGGACTGGGGGGACTGAAGGGGACTGAAGGGGACTGAAGGGGACTGAGGGGGACTGAAGTGAAAGGGACGGGACTGAAGTGGACTGAAGGGGACTGAAGGGGACTGAAGGGGCCGAAGGGGACTGAAGGGACTGAAGGGGACTGAAGGGGACGCAAGGAAAAGGAAAAGGACTGAGGGGGACTGAAGGAAGAAGGAAGCTGAAGGGGACTGAAGGAAGGGCATTGAAGGGGGACTGAAGGGGACCCCACTCTGGGAAGGGTACTAAACAATCCCAGTGCTTCCAAATACCACTATATTAGGTATCCAGGAAAAACCATGATGCATAACCTAGAGGTGGCCATACCTGGTTACCTATTATAGTGGTTTGCCTTGAAGCACTGGGAATTAGCTTTAAACAACTCTGCCACTGGAATTGAAATTGCACGGGCATCCGACCCAGTTCCCAACGAGAAAGGTAAAGGACCTTCCTGGTCTTGGGGGCCAAGAAATTCAGTCGGCTTGCCGCACGTGCGCAGACTGTTAAAACTCCGTGGGTGATGGCTTTCTTTGTAGAACCACTTCCCATGGCGGGCTAAATTCCAGAGTAGTGTTGACTTCGGACTCCGAGGAATCCTCCTTCTGAACTGGTTTTCCTGAAAAGAAACAATCACCGCTGGTTGATTCAAAGGGGCATGTGCCATTTTAGCGAAAGTCCGTTTTCGTTTTGGGAGGCGTGTACCCAGAATGATCCGCCAGGCACTACTTAAATCCGGGTCCACATACGGAGCGCTTTGACTCCACATAGCCGGCATTTTCTGCCTTGGCTGGATTTGGACCACTGGAACAGGCTAAGTTTCTGGTGGTTGAAAGGGGGATAACTTCCTTTTGCTTGTTGGCCCCCTGGCAAAACTGAGATTCCCTTTAAAACCAACAAGGAACATAGCAACCTATTCTTCTTAAGCAAGTGGAAGATGAAGGAAACCTAAAAGGGCAAAGGGCGAGCCAGGCCGCGTACTGTACCCCAACTCCACATCTCCCGCTCTCTTCCTCGAGGGGCGTGGATACGCTCTTGGCATGGGTCAGGAAGGCAAACTCCAGGGAGCAAAGTTCCTGAAGCTCCTGCGGCAAAACCCCCGCAACCAGCAGCATCCCTCTCTTCACAACCCTTGGTCTGGTTGCAAAGAACGTTGTCTTTTGCAGCCTCATGCTAAAAAAAAGGAACACAACCAAACACTGTATGCGTCGGGACCAAGATCGGTGCGGTGGGGGGGGGGGGGTGTTACTTGAATTGTACATGATTGACCCTTACAGCAATGTAGGAATCCCTTGTATCATACTTCCAATCATACTTTGTACTGCATGTGAACGTCACAGCTTGATATCTTTGCTTGTGCAGTCCGCAGTGGCTGAACCCACATTCTCACGAACAGCTGCGCAGCCATAAAAGAGATATCAGTCTCTGCACCTTGTTATTCTGACTGCTTGGGAATATATCAGCATCCTTTGATCCCTATTTGCACTACAGGACGGATGGGGGGAGAGATGGTACCGTTCTTGTTCATTGGCAATCATGGTGACTCTACGGAACGGCATTGTTTGCTGACCGATTGAAAGGCTCGTCTTCTTGCTGCTCTTCAAATGTTGGACTAAAATCGGTGGATGTGGTCCATGTTTATTCCTTCCAAAGACAAAATCACAATTGTTTGAGTCAAATCACACTGGAATTGACCACATCCACCGATCTTGGTCCCAACGCGTAACAACAAACAAATCTTGCCAAGAACAGTGAAGATCTAGAATGACTTGAAGTTTCATGCTTATTCGTGGCAAACGTCCAGGCTAGTGTGCTTTTGAGGGTATCCTTCTATGGCTCAAAAGGAAACCGAAGGGAAACCACCCATCTTAGGATCCGAATCCTGATTTTGACACAATATGCGGCACAGTCAAAACTCCGGGCTCCCTTAATCGAAGGCTCTACACCCGCCATACTCCCACCTCGCAAGTATTGCCAGTACTGCAAAAAACAATCAAATGAACTCAGGTTGTCTAAAACCCAACCAAGCTTGAGCAAGGGGCTGTTTAGACCGTGTCACATATAAGCAACGGACAAAACAAAACCAGGCTGCCGACTTTGAATGGTTCACGTCCTTTTGGTGTGCACCTGGGTGGGTATCAGTCTTAAGTCTTAAGTAGTCCCCTAGCAGTTGTTGGTCGAAATCTTGTCGTCTAGTCAGATGACCCCATGGCCATGTTAACCCCTTTGAGTGCTCAGCGTTGGTTGCATTGCAACCACTTCGGCGATACCAATGGACGCGTTTCCACGTCGTGATCAATTATCCAGTTTGTTCAAGGTTCATTGCAAAGGGAGCCAACTCCTCATTCTTTGGTGGCCATTGCCCCTGCAAACAGTTTATATGCTTGCGAGGCCCAACAAGTCCTTCTGCCCACGTTGCCATGGAACCAAAAGGGTCCCTTTCGCGTCAGGCTTTTTTCTAACGACGGGAGGGTAAAGTCTAGAGTTCCCGAGCGCCGGCAAGCTCAACCAAAACCCGGCCAAACCCCTGAGAAGGTGCTAAGTGGCTGTGGCTCAAAAATGTGGTAACAAAATGGCACCTTGGTAAATGGAACCAAAGACTAAAACCCGAGCAACGCCAGCTCGTTAATTTTGAGCCATACCCAAATACCTTCCTTTGGGTGGCTTTGATCAGCGGTCTGCACGCAAGGGATCCCATCAGCGCGCGCTTTTCCGGAGGGTAGCGGGTCACTGGAGATGTGATCGGCTAGCTGAGAGGTGCGAAGACTGGGTCCATTCAAGTGACATCCTCAAAATGACCCTCTAAATGGTGGCTCAAAGCGAAACCACCGGGACCCAGAAAAACTTCGCCAACGCCTAAAACTGGTCTCCATTTAAGACTGAAACAATTCCCCTCTCTCAGCTTCTCAAGGACATGGACAAAAGGGAAAACAACAAACTGCTAAACAGGTAGTCAATCTTTCCAACGTGCAGATGCGGACAGCTGGACATGCCCGGTTCTAGCCGCACTCAGGGATCCTTCTTGAAAAGATATGGAAACAAATGATTTATGAACAAAGGGGCAGGTGGAGCCCTGGTGAAGAGAATTGGGAATCTGGGCTGTGCTCAGATCCCCCGCTAAAAGTGTTTATATAACTTTCAGTGGGATACATTCGGAATACTTTCGGAAAGCCAACCACTAAACCAACAACAAAAATATCTAACAAGCTAAGGAACCGGATGGCTGGGCCCACCAAGGGAAGGGATATGTGTTACTGCAATTGATTCGGGTCAAAAGGTAAACACCGAGTTTTCTGTAGATTTCCCCTCTTCAACATCATCCAAGCTGGCACCTCACAGTAAACCTAAGGAACAGCCGAGGGAAACCACTAATTAGAAGAATGGAAAAGCAAGGGAAGCCGAAGGAACGCAAGCAACACCAAATCACCGGAACTTCCAGGAGGGAAGCCCCAGACTCCGCCCGCGCCTCGTGGGCCTCGTGGGTGGCCAGCAGCGTCTTCTGCTCCTCCGAGTCGCCGCGGTGCGGCCACAAAGTGACCGCCAGAAGAGACACCAGCAGCGGCAGCAGGGCGAACAACCTAAGAGGAGACTGTTGGGACCTGGAACCTCGAATGTCCAACTAAAAAGGAATGGGGTATTATGATACCCCCGCAAAATGGGTGAATTTTGGGTAGTTTGAGGGTTGAGGGTGTCTTTTTTGAGTGTACCCTTTATTGGGTTGTATTGGAAGGATACTTTGAAATTTGATAGATCACCCAGATTCAACCCTCGACCAAGGATGCTCTTTCATCATTGAATTCTGTGGGCAATGATGTAAGATGGTCCCAAAAATATCGATCCCATCATAGCCCGCCGAAGTGAATTGGTCCGAGGAACACAAAAGTAGCAACTCTTGACATATCAATCCTCCACCCTTTAAACCGTGGCTTCGACCATTTGGTACGGTCGGAGCTTGTCCTCCCCGGATCCGATTCCCAGGTCCTCGGGTCAAGGACCGGCTCGTCTTAGGCTCGTGTTTTCGCCCCAGGTAAGCTCTCGATTCCTAAACCAGCTAGAAATTTTCCGAAGGGGGCTTGATGTTTTCAGGTTGAATTTCAGGATGAGAAAAATGTGAAGACCAGACAAACTTGCGAGGGTGGTCACCAACCAATTGTCAACTTTGGAGTTCAATGACGAGGACCATGCTAGTGCTCGGGCCTTCCCACATGCTGAGCTTCTCCGGAGTGGCCCGTTTGCAGTGTGGGATGTGGCCGTGACAAATCATTTGCTGAGCGCGTTGGAACGCAATGTGCTACGCGCTCAGCCATGTCACCCACCATTCTAGGTGAGTTCTGATTGGCATCCTGCGGAATGAGTCCGGAGGGTGCGAAGGCCTAGGATTGGGCCCCGGTTGATTTGCGCTTTCCGAGTCTCTGGATTATGGGCTGATATGGCTTTGTCTCCTTCTAGCTGTTCAGGGAATCTGGCCTTTTGCCCCCCCCCAAAATCTGACATGGGTAAAAAAGGGGGTTGTATTTTCGCTTTCATTCACCTTTCTTTAAAGGCAAAACACAAAAACAACTTTTTGAGACAGCCCCATATTATGGCCGCTTGGGTGACGCCAAAGTGCCAATCAGCAGATTCATGAGACCCTTGGTTTCAACCCTGTAAATTGTCCTTGCGTGTCTACGTCATCTAAGTGAGATTGCACGTGTCCTTTCTTTTGAGGGGGGCCCTGGGGGGGGGGGGGTCTCGCTTATTTTCAGGTTATGTTGTGTATCAAGAAACAAATGGACGCCGCATATTTGGACAACTTCTGAAGCCCATCTCACGTCCGGAGTGGTCCCAAAAGAAAAGTCCGAGACTGCTTCTGAGGCACTAAATCAAGTCTCTTCCAAACATGTATGGAGCATTGAAAAGAAAGCTTCTCCATTCCTGTATTCCCAGCATCTCTGCGATTTTGCAATGTGGGGTTCTTGCCAGGAACCGTATCCCTTTAGGGCGGACTCTCTTTGGGTTGACTTGCACAGGAACAAAGAAAGGAGAACCAGCGAGCAATTCCCGGACCTAATGTTGACCCAGCGTGTTTTTTTTAGCCCGTCCCTTTATTAGGGGGGCGTTCCCTCCAAAAGTGGTCTGAATCCCCACTAAAAGGGGATATTCATTCACCAGGGGTTTATTAATCCGGCCATGGGTCAAAACCCCGTACCCCCCGTGAACATCCCAATCCCCACTAAAATAGACTAAAACGGGTGGTGCACCTATCCCAAAATGGGATCCCATTGGTTTTGAACCATGGCCATCCAGGGTCAACACAGTCCCCATCCATTAGGACCCCCCATCGCGTCGAATCGGATGGGGCTGTCGAGAAGCCGAAAGGTCACAGGCAAGGGAGTGCCCAGATCACTCATCCACGCCCTCGGATACGAGTCCAAGTCAGGGCGTTGCTTCGTCCATTTTCTGTGTTTGACGCCGGTGCGTCTTTTGAGGGTTCCAATTTTGGGGTTGGTTCAAAGGGAACCAAATGGAGAACCACCCGTTTTGGAGGCTGCCACATTGTCGCAGTTGAAGACACCCCCTCATGTTTTGTAATGTGTTCGTGCTGCTTTCCTCTAATGCAACGGGAAAACAAAAACACCGGGAACAAAGAAAATGTGTGCCACAATCTAAACCTGGCAGTCGAGAAGTCATCCAACAATTGTCGCAAGAAGAACCACAAGGTCCGAACATCCACACCTATGTCTCACTGGACTTTTTCCCCGCCCGCCCGACTTACCTTGAACTTTCCCTTGGGAAAACACTTGACACATTTATTGGCCCCGGAGTGTGGAAGGCACAGCGGGACAGCAGGTCCCTCTTCTGGTTGCCCCCTTCACAGGCTCATGTTGCGCCACGTTCAGTGGAGGGAGCCGATCTGGTCAACTCCGCACTCGTAAGCCCGTTTACTCATAAGTTCCCAGTGGAGTCAGTTCACCCCGTTGTCAGGCGGATAGACTTGCCCGAACAGCCAAATACCCCGAGCCCCAAGGATCAAGCACCTTGCAAGGACGCACCAACCGACTTTGGGATGAGGAATCTGCAAGCAACAACACAGTCAGCATATGGCCATGGGTCAAAAGCCAAATCGTACCCCCAGTGAACATCCCAATCCCCGCTAAAATAGACTAGAAAGGGTGGTGCGCCTGCCCAAAAATGGTACCATTGGTTTTGACCCACTGCCATATCACAATCACATGAAGATCCATTGTCCTATTTGTCGGTATCCACAGATGTTCTGCGTGAGAGCAAGGGCCTACTTCCTATGGGCAACCTCACCTCAGCGCAACCTACATCACGCAATGCGGAAAGGATATCCACTGGCTCCCCCCCCCCAATCCCCAAGCCAACATGAAGATCATGCCCGCTTCGTATGTGTCGTCCCTCGCATGAGGGCAAACAACAAACAAGGCGGCTGGTTCCGTGGGGTTCTTTAACTCGCTCGAACGCCTCCGAACACACACCCCGTCATGCCCGTCCTGAGGGCTACTAAACATTCAAATTTATGTGTCTTGTTTAAGAGTACCGTAACAAACAAAACAACAACCACTTCGCGGGTCCCCTATTTTGACACACACACTTAAACTCCAGATGGAGGGTGCTAATCCTTTCGAGTACAACTGATGAGTCTCGAGTACAACTGATGAGTCTCGAATGCAACTGATGAGTCTCGAGTGGGTGCAGGTTCGGCTTGCAGTCACTTGGTTTCCGTCTAGCAGCGAAAACGTTACAAATTCAACATGAAGCATACACAGCGAGAGAAACAACGGGCCAAAAGGACTTTGAATCACACGAGATGCACAGGTACGTCGAGGTGATCAGCCTCGATATCCGCATTTGCTGTGGCCGCTTCGTTGGACCATCGCACACAGCAAACGGATGGTCCCCCTGCAGTCGTGAAAATTGGATTGTATGGTGGCAGGGTATTCTGCCACTCCGCACACACACGCCCCTCAAAGAGGGGCGAGAAACACTTTTCCGGGGGGGGAGAAGAAGCGCCCGAAAGACGGACGAAGACCCCAACAGAAAACAAACGGAGCAAGCACCCAAAAGAAACAGAAAGCCCCACGTTGGGTCTCCGCGGGCAAAACCCCAACCAAGAAACACGAAAAACAGGGGAACCCGAGTTTTAGGGTCACCGCCGAGGGCAAAAACCCAAAACAGCCCAGAAACCCTCCTAAACCTGGAAGACGACCACCACCGCAAAGTTGAAGACCGAGAAGAGGACCAGGCCATCCCTAAACGGGCGAAGAGGAAGAACAGGAAGTAGTTGGAAAAAGGGGGGGGGAGGAAACGAAAGAAAGGAAGAGAGAAAGAGAGAAAGAAAGAAAGAAAGAAAGAAAGAACGAAAGAAAGAACGAAAGAGAGAGAGAGAGAGAAAGGGAGAGAGATAGAGAGAGAGAGAGAGAGAAAAAGCGTATTTAGGGCGTCGCAACCGCCCGGGGGGAAAAAAGAAAGGAGCAGGGTGCGTATTTAGGGCGCCGCATCCCGCCCGGGAAGAAGGAAAAACGAAGAGAGAGGAGGAGGAGAGAAGGAGAAGGGAACAGGAGAAAAGGGAAGGAAACGAGAGAAGGGGAGAAGGAGGGAAAGAGGGAAAGAAAGAAAGAAAGAAAGAAAGAAAGAAAGAAAGAACGAAAGAAAGTAAGTGTGCGTATTTAAGGCGACGCATCCCGCCCAGAGAAACACGAGGACAAAGCCAATGCTCGAGGAAGAGGGCGTCGAATCCCGCAGAGGGGCCATGAGGAAGAGCACGATGAAGCAACGGTAGGGGACGAAGACGGCAAGCCAAAGACCGAGGACCACGAACAAATAGGCAAACAAGAAGAGGACGACGACGAAAAAGGCAAACAACGCGGCAGAGAAGAAGCCATCCCTAAACGGGCCAAGAGGAAGAACAGCAACACGCGGAAGACGGAAGGCCGGAAGAAGGAACGGGAGGAAGGAGAAGCCATCCCTAAACGGGCGAAGAGCAAGACGACGGACACGCGGACGACGAAGGCGAGGAGGGAGGGTGAAACGTAGCTATGAAGAGGTGGCTGTCTTCCCTTTAGTGAAACCTCGTTCCTGGTTAAATGTGAAATTCCGCTGAGCTATGATAAGCACGTTGAGGTCAGATTTTCCGACAGAGCCGGCCCGGGGTCACACAATGGGTACACCCGAGGATTCCCCACGAATGGGGTGTACACACTTAAACTCCAGATGGAGGGTGCTACTCCTTTCGAGTACAACTGATGAGTCTCGAGTACAACTGATGAGTCTCGAGTACAACTGATGAGTCTCGAGTGGGTGCAGGTTCGGCTTGCAGTCACTTGGTTTCCGTCTAGCAGCGAAAACGTTACAAATTCAACATGAAGCATACACAGCGAGAGAAACAACGGGCCAAAAGGACTTTGAATCGCACGAGATGCACAGGTACGTCGAGGTGATCAGCCTCGATATCCGCATTTGCTGTGGCCGCTTCGTTGGACCATCGCACACAGCAAACGGATGGTCCCCCTGCAGTCGTGAAAAAAGGATTGTATGGTGGCAGGGTATTCTGCCACTCCGCACACACACACACACCCATTTGGTCCCTGGCCAGAGCAAAACAAACTAATCCTCTCAACAAGTTTCTCCGCGGATTTCATCATCTATAGGCTGGTGCAACCCTGTTCTCCCCCTTGCACGCCTGAAAGGTAGATGGTGAAATTCCCGGTGGGAATTTCAGGGTGATGACTAAACCAAACCGGGGGGAACTGCATCTACTTTCAGCGAACTACTCACTTTCTGAGTGGAGTGGCCCAAACAAATCCAAGCCCTTGATTGACAACCAAGACGGTCTCCCCCAAAAGTGCCTAAAGTCCAAACACTGGGGAAGTGCGCTCTTTTGTTGGTCGACTGCAAGTAAACCTAGTAGGATATACCGATTGCGCGGTTTCCTTTTGGGATCTTTTGGGCTTCCCTTTGCACCACCAAATGAGGCGGTCGCCCTGGAGAAAAAACAACAAAAACAAACACGAAAACTCAACCATCCCCATGACAACTTCGTCACTTCAGAGTTGGCTCAGGAGCTGGGCCTCACCACCACCCGACTTACCAAGAAAACCGCTCTGGCCCTCGCTGCGGTTTCGGCACGTCCGGCTTCAGCAGCTCCACAAACCGAGAAAGTATCCACCAAACTGGGGACCTGGGGACCTCAAGCCTCCCTCCGATCCTCAAAACATGGCGCATTTACTCAAATGAAAGGGTCGGCTCCATGATTGATTTGGGTCAGAAAAAACAAACAAACTCCAGGCAAAATAAAGTTGAAATATATTGTCAACAGTCTTAATAAAAACTCGTCAAGTAGTATTGTCAACAGTGTTAATAAATATTTCAACAATGATACTATAAATAGAACACATAAGGGTCGAATCGATGGAGAGGCGCATGGTCGCGAAGAGCAGCGGACACATCTCGGCACAGGCGGCGAAGGCGGCGATGAAGATCCCCCGATGCCCCAGGGCGCGCTGGGCGAAGGTGTAGCCTCGAGACCGTGCGCGGTTCCGAGCGCGAGGGTCCAGCTCGACCTGGTTCAGGTGTTCAAAGGCTTTATGATATCATGTGTTCTTTTGGCTTTTTTTTTTTTTCTCTCTCTCTCTCTCTCTGCGGGGGACTTTCATAGTTCCTCCCCCAACAAACAACTACTTACGCACCTGCCGACAGGGGGTTACCCCTGGACTTCGCAGTCATCATCCGGGATGCCTGGGGGCTTAAGGGCTGACTGAGTCCACTCCGCGATCCGCACCTCTGGCACATCATATCCCTGAACCCCGGCCCCAAGCGCAGAGAGCCCTGGAAGGCGTAGCTTCTCGGGGCTGCATTGTATCGGTCAGCCCCCTCCCCCCCCCCCCCGCGCTTCTTAGCTCGCACCATGCCCCTCTAACATACGTAGCAGCGCCAGGGTGGTCGGCTTGATCGCAGACGCCCCGCACATGCACTGGTCATTCGCACAGCCTCCACATAATGCGGCGTCCACGCCTGTGTCCAGATCGACGCGGGGTTCTTATCCATGGCTCAGGCCAGAGATCAGAGATTGAGGGTCGATGAAACCAGACCGTTCCAGTCTGGCCAGGACCCACAGCACTTCCCACGCACAAGAGCCGGATGCTACCCACAATTTGTCGCCCTTGCTTGGCGCTGAGGGGACGCTTAAGGCTTTCTTGCCGAACGGGTGCCCCGCGTCACGCGGCAAGGTCCCCCTGGCAACAACTGCGCCGCTGGTTTCACATGGCCCAAATCCAGCGGACAAGTGTCGGCCACAATGCCCCGTTTTGCCGCCTGACACACAAACCTGACTGCCTCCAATATAAGGTCGTATGATTTTGTTAAGGGGAGGGGGGGGGGATTTTGACTACGGCGCACCCCCTAAAATGGATGGCTTCCTTCTGGTGTCCTTTTAAACCCACCAAAAAGAGGTGCCATCCCCAAAAAAACCGTCCCATATTTTTCTTCGGGGGGTCCCTCCCGCCCGGTGGCCTGCGCAGCTCATCACAGGCCCAAAGATGGCCATCATCGAAAAGCCCGTGGTGTAAGCGGCCTAAGTTGAACTGGCCATGGGTCAAAATCCAAATCGTACCCCCAGTGAACATCCCAATCCCCACTAAAATAGGTTCTAAAATGGGTGGTGCACCTACCCCAAAATGGTAGCATTGGTTTTGACCCACGGCCAACTCACTTCAGACAGAGTACTTCACAACCCTTGCTTGGCATGGGCGTGCAAAAACCGGATTCCGTTTTTTGCAGCCCCCTACTAACAATAAACAGAACCAGAAAACCAAAAACCACAAACACCTTGCCAAGAAGAGTGAAGAGTAGATTGACTTTAACCAGATCCGGAACACAATTTTCCCTAGCAGTTTTGGGGTTGACAAGCCCAAATAGGCTCGGGAAAGGTTCGGGGCAGCTTTCAGGGAGGGTTGGGATTCAGTCCGGGGTCTGTCGGGATCCAGGGCATTTACCACCAAAATGGTCCAGACAACAAAAAAACAAAGGGAAGTGTCTGGCTTCAGTTGGTACCTGCCAAGTACCGGGCCCCAGTGCCTGGTTCTTCCTACAGTGTCTTGCCTGGAAGCACTGGGTTAACAAACACATTTTCAGGCGTCGTTTATCATGTCCTTACACTTCTGGTAGCTCTGCAAGGCTCCGCAACAAACTGGGACTCCCTTCCACCCCCCCCAGCCGCGTCCCACGCCTTTCCCCAGCTGCCCCGCCCCCGCCGAGGCCAAGTGGCGCGGCCCGGGCCGGGGCCGCCCAAGGAGAAGAGCACCGCGCCGAGGGCGATGGCCAGAGCCGCGCAGAGCCCACAGCGGCCGTAGCCGAAGTGGTCCAGACACAGCCCTGGTGATTCGAAAACCCCCTAGCTTCACCGACCTAGCGTCTCCTTCTGACCCTGAAAAAAACAATGGCCCTAAATTGCCCGAAATATTGGAGGTCATGGACCTATTTGTTTTTTGGGTCATGGAGACTCCAGGTAAGAACCAGCAAGTGGTCGAAATCCCTGGCGCAAAACTCAGACTTTTCCAGTAGTGACGTGGTAGATTCCAGTTGAAACCAAAAGGGGAAAATACAGTGCACATTCTTAGGCAAATGGAAGAACCCCAGTGGTTTCCTCATTTCAGGTACCCTCCAAGAAAAACATACACAATATGCCCGATCGACACTTCTTTGGGTCATGATTCCTTAAGCCTTGAAAAACGCTCGCGTTCCAATCGGTCCATAGCCTTTATAAATTTATAATGTTTGTCTGGCTGGTGCGATAGGCAGGGAATGAGAAATGAAATGACCCCTAGATAATCCATCTCTTGTGGTTTGCTTGACAAACCCAACTAAGCCCCAGCATGATTCAGTCCGTCACCTTTCAGCAACACCAAAGTACAGCTTACTCAGAAGCAGCCCATTAAAAAATCACCTTCAAGGAGGAAGTGTAGGGAACCCCGTGAACTTGAATTTCAGGGTTGTGGGAAATGACCACTTCTGTGATACAACAGAAAGGGCTTCCCAAAGACTCTTTTGTTCTAAAGGGGGATTCCCTTGTATCACAGAAGTGGTTGGAGAAACCCCGAGCGATCCCACAACCCTGACTTGAATCGTTGCGGATGCCCCTACCTCAATAACACCCGACTGGGGCACTCGGGCACTCGTGACTTCATGGGCACCCAAAAAAACTCGCAGGATGTGCCCAAGGTCATCCCGTGGAGTTCTGAAGATATGGGAAAAAACTGCTTAAGGATACTTGAAGCGGAAACTACAAGAAAAAAAACAACATTTTCGGGGATCCCCTAAAACACACACGCAGAATATAGATTGACTCTCAGGATTCCTTGTGATGAACTAGGACAACCCACAAAGTAAAACAAACTGCCCAGTTTGAGGTGTTTTTGGGACACACGCAAGTATGTACCGTCTACGGTTTGTACATCTACTCTTGGGAAGCTATGCAGCGCCCCAGGCACGTGAGAAGAGTCTTCCGATTGCTTACCCCCTTGAGCAAGATTTCCCTTGATCGCCCGGACCTGCTCTGCCAGTTGAAAAGCACAAAATATACCGCTAGGAAGATCTAGGATGTTAGCAAAAGGCGTTGGTCTTTGCAGGTCCCACTGCAGAGAAATAAACAGACACTTCACAAGCAGAAAACAACACAATCGAATATCAGACACAGTGAAGCAATCAAACATGCCCTTGTCTAATGCCAACCTCTACTGAAACAAGCGGCCCGTCGGTAGCGCCGCCAGGTTCAGCAAGGAATTGGCAACGGTGTACCTGCGCAATGGGTGATACAGTGACCTTCATCAAGTAAATAATTAGGCGTAGGGCGAGAAAGACAAGAGAGCAACAGTGGTCAAATAAGGCGCTCCTTTCTACCAACATGAGGCACGGTCAAAGTATGCTGATAGCCCAAGTGGGCTTGGAACAATTAGACTGTTCCCGCTTCTTTGGGAGGAGATCTAGCGAGTCCCCTATGTCCCGCCCAAATAAACCATGCACCACTGGGAATCTTGACAGACCCTGGGTGTTCGTTGCCAAGTCAATACTTCCACTTGCTTAAGCCCCCTGGAAGCAATAAAAATACGACACATATGTCCAGTAGTGATAAATTCCCGTGAAAACAAACCTGCGCAATAGAAAACATATTCTTCAGCAACGGAAGCTTTCATAAGCCTTCCCAAAGTAAAACTAATCCTGATCACTCGTGGGTTCTGACTCAAGTGGCTAACCAACTCTCAACTTGGCCGAATTTCGAACGTCATAAGCGCCTGCTTAACACACACCACTAGCCTGAATCAAGGAATCCCTGACAGACCCTTCATGAAAACCAAAATCAAACAATGCTACCCCCCCCCCAGACACGTAGGTTCAGCTTACAGAGATCTTGTGTTTGCTTGCGCTAGGTCGGGCAAGAGCAGTAAGGACTTGCAGGACTTCGGAGATATGATGCTTCGCAATTTTGGAATATGTAGTTAAATAGACGGAATGCAAGGTAAAACAAGCAACACAACACATGTGAAGAAGTTGGTTAAAAAAACTATGAATTCGCCAAAGGGCAAACAAGCAAAGGCAAACAAGCAAAGGCAAGCAAGCAAGCAAGCAAGCAAGCAAGCAAGCAAGCAAGCAAGCAAGCAAGCAAGCAAGCAAGCAAGCAAGCAAGCAAACAGACAGACAGACAAACAGACAGACAAACAGACAATAACAAGCAAACCAGCGACAAATATAATACAACGCAGAACAGCACAACACAACACAGCACAACACAACAAGCCCCACACACACACACACCTTAATAAGGCGGCTTAATAAGGCAGCTACGCCCCCCCCCCCCCCCAGTTCCCCACCCCCATCCAAGGGGTCCATGAAAAGCAGCAACAATTTGTTGTGTCGCCAAACCGCAAGAGACGTCGTGACGAGGCGCATGTGCGTGAGGTCGGACATTTGCTTGCTGCAGACCTCTTCCTCTAAGCAGTCCTCGTGGAAGGCCCCATCCTCCTGGGACCCCGAGAGCTAAGATGGGACCCCTGCCTGCGAGTGCGTCAGATGGAAAAGTAGGTGACCACCGTGGTTAACCAAACTGGGCCCAACAGATCGGTTCGATGATCCGACAAAGAGGAAAGGGTCAAAAAGGAAAACGGCGAGATAAGTCTAGCAACGGCGTCACGTCAGGTCGATTCGCTTTGTTTGCAAGTGCGATTGCCTTGGACAAATATCACCACAACCGTCGTTTGTGCACTTTCCCTTCAAAACCACCAGGGGAAGATCAAGATATTCATTTCAGCAGCTGGGAAGACTGGAGTGGTGAACCCGCCAAACCCACACCGTGTCCAGCAGGCTGGGCACCAGGGCGGAATAGCCGCTGCACAAGGCCCCGCAGGACAAGACCGCGAAGGCCGCGGAGAGCAGCAGCGCCGAGTCCTTCGAAGGCTGGGCCAAGGCTGGGCCACGTGGCGGTTCCTTTGAGATACCTGGCCCCCGCCTTTTTAAGACGTTGGTTTCAAGGGACACTGTGTTTGTTTCCGAGTTGAAAACCACACGCTTGCTCAGGAAACGCACACATATGCTTGTGCGTTTGGAGGAAAACCAAAGGAGCAACACGTTCAAAGCTTGCTTTTTGAGGAGAATCACTAGGAACACCGAAGCCCGTTCTTTTTTTTTGGGCGGGGGAGGGAGGGGTCTTCTTTTGACAGGGAGCTTTGTCCGGCTCCGTAGGGTTTCTGGTGGTTTAACCCAGTGGACCGGCGTGCGGAACATGATTTTATCCATCCGATCGATCCGAATTCCGAAGGCTCCGATCCGCGAAGCCGTAGCCGAACTGGGAAATACCGGAACGGAACAGACCGGGTCTCTTTATATTCCGTTGACCCAACTTCAACGAAGACAAAGCAAATTGGAGAAGCAACATAGCAGGACACATTACTTGTACTGGGAGATCCATCCTGTTGTTGTTTGTTTTACCTGTTGGGTTCTTGTTCGGGTTGCTCCAAAAACACTACCACAAGAACAGCAGTTCGCTCCTTGAAGCAAAGAGAACAGTTTACCGTTTTTGCAACCTTGTGTTTGGATCGTTGGTTCATATCGCCCCGCTCGAAAACTTGTGTCCTTTCCAATATCAGAGAGTAAGATAACACCCATTAACACCCCCCCTCCAGACAAAACTTGGGCGGGGGTTCTCAGTCAAAGCCTTGAACCCACCCTCAAACCCTGACAAAGCATTGGAACTGGTGAGGGTCCTCAAACCTTTGGTCCAGACTCCAAAAAGTACGTGAGCCCGAAGTGATTTCGAACAGGGCACTGCTGGCCGTTGTTCCCGACCAGAAAACGGGGTAATTGTTTGGCATTGCCCGATTTTTCTTGTTGCTGCTGGTGCCACAGTTGTGGGTGAGCGAGCGAACCAGAGGACCGAAGGCAAATGTCCTACTTGTTTGTGTGTACTAGGCGTACCCCCAAATGAAAAGGGCGCGCAAACGTGGTTTTGTCGTCTTTGGGGCTCGAAGCTACCAGTTATCCGCTTCTCAACAGAATGATCGGTGAAAAGAACGGAGCATCAACCTTTTATCCCTGCCTCACAAGCCCGGTGGATTTCCATGGAAATTATTCTAAACGTAGACGCTTCCCAAAACAAAGCGACCAGGAGGCCCGCCAGGCAGCTGGGTTGTTGTTTGCTGGGCTGATAATTTTAGTGGATTTCAGTAGGAAAGAAAAGGCACCTGCTTTTTGGTATGTTAATTGCAAGAGGCTTCCACCTCCAACATCCGAACCCGTGCTTTGGTTGTTTCAACAACCTCCTTTTAGTACCCCTCTGAAGGTGGTCGGGGACAGGTTGCTCAAACTGGATGCACAACCCTGGTCTGTTGTGACAAGGTGTTTTCTACCCAAACGTGGTTTGGTCATTGTTGTGTGCCTCACAGCAACCTGCTATTGAACTAAACCGTCGCCATTTTCAGGGACCGCTTCCTATTTTTTCGAAACACCCCAATCAGAATTTGACTCGGAAGTTGAACCATCACTTCTGGAGGGTATCCCAAATGGGTTCCCAAAACAAGCTTGCAGGAGCATCACCGGATCTCAGCTCCTGCACCTCCACCGCCCGCGTCTGCTGTATCTCCCGCGGGCTGTCCCCGCTCATGCTCCCGCTTGCAAAAGCGGGGCAAGCGCAGCGAAAGCGGAAGCTTGGCTTTGTCTTTGGGCCCCACTCCGGAGTACTCTGATGATATTTAGACATCTCTGGGGACGCAAAACATATGTTCTGATCTTCAGTCACACTCTTGGCGTTCCTAAAAGGTATACCGCCCAGAAACTTTGGGTGTTGGTTTGGTGTGTGTGTGCGCGGTGTGTTTGGAGTGTGCACGTGCTTCGGTTCACTGATTTAATTGTTTCTTTGGCCATTTTTTTTCTCTTTGCCTATAGCTCACAAGATCATCGAGGCGCCGCATCTCCGAAGAAAGCACGCTACAAATCTCGCGCCTCTTGCGGCATTGGCCTTTTCGGACCCCGAGTTCTTTCATGTCGGGGGACGCAGGCCACATGGAGTTTTCGGTATCGGAGGAGTTTCCTGAGCCCCAGTGTCGGCAACGGCGGCGGCGAACACCAGGACAACCCAAAAATACCGCTGTTTACTTGGCTGGAAATAGGACCCCAGCAAAACACTTTACATGTTTTGCCTGGTTGGTGGAAAGCCAAGGGGACTATCAAAAAGGGGAGCTAATTAGGGGGAAGTTTACACCAGGGTGAAAGTTGATTGCACAACTCAATCCCTCTCAAGGGAATGTTTGATAAATGGGGGGGAAATAAATTCGCCATCTTCACCCAACCCTTTGGCCACCCAAAGCATGTGGCAACTGATCCCTGCCCCGGGGGGATCGGTTGCGGGGCCAACAAGGCGCCTTCACAGATTATGTGCCTTGCACCAACAGGAAGACTTAAGGGAAAGTGTCAGGTGTGCGATAACATGACACGCACCACCGGAGGCATGCATTAAGTGGGTCTACCAAAGGTCCCTCGTGTGTGTCGTGTCTCATGGGTGAAGCTCCAAACTGGGTGGTTCCCCTTTGCTCTTGTTCACCGACGCCAGCCAAGGTTCCCTCAATAAAATGTGTCTCCTTGTAAAATGCTGCAAAGTGGGTCAAACAAAGCCAACACAGGGAGGGGGCCGGTGGCCCTCAAAACGCGTCTGGGTCCTCCAATTGAGGACCCCAAAAAAATCGGTGTGGGAACCTTGTTATCCAATCGGATGCCCTTGCAAATTATCGTGCAAACAGCACATGCACGAAAAGGCCTTGCATTCTAAATGATGGACACAAGCACCGACCAGGTTTCTCGGCTTGAAGGCTGGAATTTGCAAATTTTCCACCTTGAGGTCTGTGGCAAAGGTCCAGCTGATCAGCTAGGCTGCTGACTGGGAGGTTGTAGACAAAGCGAAGCTTCACGCGCAACTTCTGCAGCTTCAACCAGTCCTACCCCCCCGCGCTCCAGCAAACTCTCCAGTCTGGGCACGGGTCGATCCGACCCGTGGGCAATAAACCAAGCTGTTTGCTGGAGGAAACGGAACATGAAGGGAACACAGAAAGGCAACACGTCGAAAAGAGAAGCCAAGGCTGGCAATGACCAGTGCAAAGTGATTGAACATCTGTGGCCAAACGAGATTTCCAGACCGAACAGGTGGACCGCAGAAAACAAATCCAAGGCGTTCTCTGGGTCACACGTTACTCTGGAGACTAGGTCTGATCGATTTAGCGAGTGGAAATGGTCCACATTGGCATGGAGTTGGCATTCAATCGAACAGGAAAACCGCAAGGAAACTACCGATTTGCGGTCAGGGACAAATGTAACATGATTTCAAGAAAGCATCCCGGAACGGCTAGCAAATATTTTTGCACCCCCCCTTCCACCTCAAAGAAGCCGCCACTGGGAATATGGGTGAAACACGTCCTCTCCGAAAGGGCGGGGGGGGGGGGGGGGGGAGGGCGGGTAGAAACGACTGCATCGAGCGCAGGTTCCGGTCGATTACGTACAAGAATGCCACTCCGGCGGCAAAAACAGCAAACATGTACAAACATCACCTCCGTTTGCTTAAGGCTCCTAGAAAGGCATATATGTCCAGTTGTGATAACCAAAAACAACAGCAGGGGAATGTGAATTCGAGCAACATCTTAAGCAAACAAAAAAAAACATGAACCGCTGAACTGCGGGTCTCGGCAGGCCGACTGGACAGGGAAGCAGAGGGTCGCCCAGACTCTAACTGAACAATTGGCGACGGCAACATGTCGTCAAACAAGCTATATACAATAAAGGCATCCTGGTTTTTACGACTCCCAGGCCAGGAATGGTTGGTGCTTGGGTATCTGCGTGTGTGTGTGTGTGTGGTGTGGGTGTTTGGTGTTGTGCTTCAAAGCAATGTCAGCCCGGGATCAAAACGCATTGGGGGGGTTCCACCCTCTAAAATGCGTCTGATCAAAGCCGGCGTTGGAGGAGTATACCCAACAACATGCGAGTCAAACAAGCGGACGCATGTCGTTGACGAGTCGAACTTGTTAGTAGCCTAGGTTTTGATCGTTGCTAAAGTAGAACGTGAGTTCCTGCAATTGGGAATGCACCAAGAATACCCTTCCGCCTAGTATTCACGAGTCACGCGCACACGTGAATAGCTCAAATGGCCTATAGCCGTTTTCAGTCAGACCAATATGATAAGGAGTCACTCTCAGTCAGTCCAATATAGTGTGATATCGTCGTTTACTCTTGTTAGTGATGCAGCGGAGTTTTCACTCAGCCAACTTCTCCACAAAAGAGTCCGTCCGCAGTCTTTGGGAGCGTGGCAACGACATGGAATCTACACTCTTTTAGGGCGGCCAATCTTTTCTCCAACTTGTGGTTGTCACAAAAGGATCACTTGGTCGCCACATTGCACAACATGGTTGACTCCACCGAGGAAACTTGCAAGTGGCTCACTTCTAAGCTAGGTTACTCTTGACTTGACTTGGACAAACAAAAACATGATCCTTTGAAGGGGAAACGCCAAATATCAGGAAAGGGGCACTCCCACGCGCTGACGCTCGTGGCCGTGGTTGAAGCCAGCCTTTAGCACGGTACCTTTCAGGATACAAAAATCGGCGAAAACCACACATTCGCTGGATGCTGTTTGGACGTGTCCTTTGCATAAGCCGGTTCAAGGGGAACAGGCTTTTGAAGCCCGGTGGAAACGCCTTTTTCGTCCGAATCGAGCCTGGAGGACTTCTTGCATCTTCACCAGGTCCTTGGTTCTCTGGGAATCCACACGGTGGGAATGAAGCATTTGGGATGCCCCCAAACCAATAGACTCTGGGGATGTTTCACCGGGTCAGTGCAACTCATCCCCGGAAAAGCTAGGCAAACTGCAGCTAGGCCGACAACCTTCCGCAGCTTGGGACCAAGGAACCCTGTCTGCCATTTGCTTCAGCCCGCGGGAAAAAAATACCATATGTCCAGTAGTGATATATAGGTTCCCTCTAAAACCAACAAGGGAAAAGAACGAAAATGTTCAGCTCAGCAAATGGAACCCTAGGCCCAACGGAAAGGACCGCAAGCTTGGCCTTCAGGGTGAACCCGTGGGGTCTGAGGGTAACGACTCGAAGCCGCCCTTAAGTCGCGTTCATACATTCGTTGCCCCCCCCCGGCCTAATATTACCCCCGGAGTAAGCAGAACCCCTGGTTGATTATTATTGGGGGGGTGTCCAATTCCTTTACTGTAGTGGTTGGATTCAGACCACTTTTGGAGGGAACACCCCCCCTGATAGTGAGACGGGGTTATTAATCCTGGGTCAACATTAATTTTGCGAACCCCCCCCCTTACCCCCGGGGTAAAACAGCAGAATCACGCTAGTTGACCCATAGTATTGAACGAGGATATGCAACGCTTCAGGGATTGCAAGTGCTTTTGCCAGTTTGATGGCGACACTTTCAAAAAACCAACCTGCATGCGGCTGCCATCAAAGGACATAGGGCAATTTGGTGAGTCCCCCACTCGTCGCTTGCAACGTCAGGACAGAAAATTGCGCATGGAAAAGACGAATCAAAGGACAAAACTAAGTTTACACCCTTGTGGTGTAGTCATCTCTGACAGGCTCAGAGCAACCCTGCTGTTTCCAACATTCCGAGAACTTGTGCACGTGCCTTTTGACAGACCGTATAGAACTACCAATTAAATCGGGTAGAACGCCTACTCAAACAGCGACATATGTTTGCATTTGACAAGATAGGAGGACCCCCAAAATGGTGATGTTCGTGTTGCTTCCCCTTTCACTCAAGGCAAAGAGGGCACCCTCAAAAAGCCACACACACACACATGCACACACCCTTACGGCATGTGGGTGCTACTCAAAACAGTGAACCCCTGAAATGATTTGCTTCCGTTGGAAACAATTAAAAAGTGGGTCCACCATTTTGAGAGGCCCAAATGTTGATAGCCCTGACTTGAATCAACATACCCTGGCTAACCACAATCCCCCCACTCAGAAAAAAAAAAAGGGGAACCAAAACTCTAATCTCCACCGCCCAAGCCGATTTACGCAACTCCCCAGCCCCAAACCCCCCTCGCCCGGATTCTCCTTGTCCCAAAGGCGACATGCGAAAACCCCCGCAAATTCACGGGTTCACGGGTACGTCCCTCGCGGAAAAAAAAAACAAAAAACTACCGCCGAGAGGCCGTGTGCCAGCCAAGCACCTTGCGCCATGCGACGCTCGGCGTGTTTCAGAGGGTATGTCTTGTTGTGAACATGTTTTTGAGTGGCTTCAAAGGAAACTGAAGGGAACCCACAGGTTTTTTTAGATTTCCATGAGAAACAAACCCATATCTAGCCAACCTAAATATTTTATGAACTATATGCGGACCAAGTTTGAACACCTCCCGCACCACGGAGCCTCAGCTGCCATCTTTGTCGCAGGTCCGGGTTAAGATTGGGGGACAGCCCCTGTTGGCAATAAAAATCCTTCAATGTTTGCTTAATGCCATGCTAAACGTGGTTTTTAGGACAAATCTCCTTTTGGGTAGAACTATCGGGGTTGCGCGGTTTTTGAAATGGACGGGAGTAAGCTGTTCAATCAACGTGGCCAGTGCAACTCATTTTGCAAGTTCACAATAAGCACATACCTTGCTTTCGTTTTTAAGTGACCTTCCCTTTGTACACGTGCCCCGAATATCGGCACATGTATGGTTCGCCCACCGGAGGAATCGAGCCAACAGACCTTCCAGTTCACCTTGCCTCTGGGATGTGCGGATAGCATCGGACGCACCTCAGGCACCTCATTCAAAAGGGTTCCAACTATTCGTCCAACCTCTTGAATCACCTACACAAAGATTCTGCCCTTAAAAGGAGATCTTCAAAACAAGTAACAAGGGAATATAGGTATCCACAGGTGGCCTTTTGGAAATATAGATGGCCCTGGCAAATGGAATAAACCTCATCTAAACCAGGGCCCTCCATTCTTTCAGAAAACCAAAAAGGACACCTAGGTATCCCTATCCGGCACCTCCAAGGGCTCAATCGAAAGGCGGGGATTCCCTTGTTGGGACTCCGGATTGAGAGGCCCGTTGGCTTGGAAGCTCGCGATCCAAAGTGACCAGGGGCCCAGAAAAAAATCGTCGGTTCGGGCAAAGGAACTCGAATGAGTCTGGCCTGCCACATAGATACCAGACCCTCTGAAAAGCATCTCTAACCCAGGCCCCAGACGGGCAACCATCCATTTTGTTCTGGTGTTGAAATGGTGGTTCCCTTGCTTGTCCACTTATTGTTGGCTTTAAAGGGAAACCACAAGGACACCAGCTGTTTTTGGGTTTCCTTGTTTGGAGCCAAACCCATATTATAGATGAGGGTATTTTTGAGCCAGGGGAGGGTTGCGCTTTTGCGCTCATAGGTACCCTTAGTACCCTTTCCTTTGGTCACAGCAAGCTCTGGGTTGACATCGTTGGGGGGAAGGACACCTTGGGACTCATAGCTTCGTTTCCTCCTGGGGAATGTTTCCTCTCAAAGCATTGTCCATGTGCAGTACCTCATGTTTGGCACCTGAATTGAATCTTCAATAGGGTAACCTCCAACACGATTGGCAAGTTTCCAGTTGGCTTCCCTCCACACCAAGCCAAAAAAGGCGCGCGCAAAAAATGGCACGCCCATTTCAAAAGGGACTCGTTCCTCTCATTGCCTTCTCCGCTTGGCCCTTTGGCCTTCGGACGCCAAAAGCCGCGTCACCTCTGTGTGGCCATTCTTTTCAGCAACATGCAGGGCCAGGGATGCGTCAGCGCCAGCTGCAAGCAAGCCACGCACGACCTCAGTATGCCCCATCATAGCAGCGAGATGCATGGAAGTATATCCACTGTCGTCGGCTTTGTCCTTGTCAGCGCCGGCTTCCAGCAAGCAACGCACGGCCTGCGTGTGTCCCCTCGCAGCAGCGAAACACATGGGTGTAATTCCACTGTCGTCGCGCCGGCTTCCAGCAAGCAACGCACGGCCTGTGTGTCCTTCGCAGCAGCGAAACATCCACTGTCGTAAGCTTCCAGCAAGCAACGCACGGCCTGTCCCTTCGCAGCTGCCACTGTTGTCGGCTTTGTCCTTGTCAGCGCCGGCTTCCAGCAAGCAACGCACGACCTCAGTATGCCCCATCATAGCAGCGAAACACATGGGTGTAATTCCACTGTCGTCGGCTTTGTCCTTGTCAGCGCCGGCTTCCAGCAAGCAACGCACGACCTCAGTATGCCCCATCATAGCAGCGAGATGCATGGAAGTATATCCACTGTCGTCGGCTTTGTCCTTGTCAGCGCCGGCTTCCAGCAAGCAACGCACGGCCTGCGTGTGTCCCCTCGCAGCAGCGAAACACATGGGTGTAATTCCACTGTCGTTGGCTTTATCCTTGTCAGCGCCGGCTTCCAGCAAGCAACGCACGACCCCTGTGTGTCCCTTCGCAGCAGCGAACCACATGGGTGTAATTCCACTGTCGTTGGCTTTATCCTTGTCAGCGCCGGCTTCCAGCAAGCAACGCACGGCCTCCGTGTGTCCCTTCGCAGCAGCGAAACACATGGGTGTAATTCCACTGTTGTCGGCTTTGTCCTTGTCAGCGCCGGCTTCCAGCAAGCAACGCACGACCTCAGTATGCCCCATCATAGCAGCGAGATGCATGGGTGTATTCCACTGTCGTCGGCTTTGTCCTTGTCAGCGCCGGCTTCCAGCAAGCAACGCACGACCTCAGTATGCCCCATCGCAGCAGCGAGATGCATGGAAGTATATCCACTGTCGTCGGCTTTGTCCTTGTCCACTGCGGCTTTGTCCTTGTCAGCGCCGGCTTCCAGCAAGCAACGCACGACCTCAGTATGCCCCATCATAGCAGCGAAACACATGGGTGTAATTCCACTGTTGTCGGCTTTGTCCTTGTCAGCGCCGGCTTCCAGCAAGCAACGCACGACCTCAGTATGCCCCATCATAGCAGCGAGATGCATGGAAGTATATCCACTGTCGTCGGCGTTGTCCTTGTCAGCGCCGGCTTCCAGCAAGCAACGCACGGCCTGCGTGTGTCCCTTCGCAGCAGCGAAACACATGGGTGTAAATCCACTGTCGTTGGCTTTGTCCTTGTCAGCACCGGCTGTTAGCAAGCAATGCAAAACTCCTGTGTGCCCATTCATAGCAGCGCGATGCATGGAAGTTCTTCCACGGTCGTCGGCTTTGTCCTTGTCAGCGCCGGCTTCCAGCAAGCAATGCACGATCCGAGTGTGGCCATGTTCAGCAGCATGGGTCAGAGGGGTCAGACCCTCACCAGAAGGCTTCATGAGCTGCTTATCGGGAACAATGCTTTAAGCAATGCTAAGGCTACCCTGGCGGAAAATCAACCGGAACCCATCCGTCCACCGAATAACAGGAAGGATCCCAATTGGTTGCACATCACTGGTTTCGCAAGGCATGTGCAAAATAACTCATCCTTTCCCAAACTGGGCCGTCATGACTATTTTACCAGTTTAGAAAGGGAAGCGCTTGGCATGGAAAGTGGCAACCTATCAGCAGTTTCCCACAAGTCTTGACATCCCCGGCTAATAAGTGCCCATTCCCTGGGCTGAATCTGGGGATGGTTTAACTACGGAGATGTTCAGCACTTAGGGTGGCCATCCAAGAGGGGATTCTAGTGAGGACTTGCATCAGTGTCTCAAAATTGGAACTCGGAAATGGTCGGTTGGTTTCCTTTGGGTTTGCCTTCAACACCAAAGGGACACTTGTCCAAACTCGACACTCCCTTTTTAGTGTGATCTTTTAGGTTTATGGTTAGACGTTTGAAGGGAAGCCAAAAGGAAGTCATCAATTTTGGGGATCCCGTAATTCGGAGACACACCCCAAAAACCCGAAACTGGATGGTGCCCCCCCCCCCCAAAAAAAAAGAGGGAGACACACCCAAAGAAACCCGAAACTGGAGGGTGCCCCACCCCCCCCCCCCCCAAAAAAAAAAAAAAGCAGAGTCCCCTCAAAAAAAAGATGGCCACGCCCACCGAAACATTTGCTTCGGCCTGCTTTAAGAGCTCGTCCAGCAGCGCAGTACCGCCCTCCGCCTTGGACAGCAACAAGGCCGCAGCGATCATCGACTGCTCCAACTCCTGTCTTTTCAACCGACCCACCCTCGGTTTGCTTTTCTAGTGTCTCAAAAAAAATGGGACGCCCCCAAAAATGGCTGGTTTTTGTTTGGTGTCCCCTTCAACCAACCCCCAAAATGGGTACCACCCAAAAATGCCAGCCCCAAATTTACTTGAAACCCACCAGGGGGGCCATGTAGGAAGCCCCCAGTTTTGGGCGGGTTAGCTAGATGGTGTCCTCAAGGCCAGAGGAAAAGATCATGGACATATGCTACAGGGTCTGCTCCAAGGTTTCCGAGCCAAGTGACTATGCTGGCTTAGTGGCTGTCAAATGAAACCCCCCAAAAGCCAGTTGTTTGGGGGTGGTTGTTTGGGCATAGTGGAAAGCCGTCATCCGCGGCTCGGGAATTTCGCCCCTTTCTGTGATACCGACTTGGTTACTATACCTACTTTCAACGGGGCTCCCTGAATTGGTATCACAGAAGATGATGCTAAAGCCCCATGTCCTACAGCCACGGCGTCATCTGGCCAAGTATTTCAAAATGTCTATCATTCTCCATCTGTACTTCCCCATAGCTTGGGTTTCAAAGGCATGGGAGCAAAGAATGGGAGTCAGCCTCAGAATCTCGAGGCCAAGATGCGCGAAATGATCGCAGGGTTTCCCCTTGAAGCAAGAGCTCCACGGAAAGGCCCCCGGCCTCAGGCCCGAAACCAGCCTTTCCCAGCCCATCTGAACGTCAGCATGCTGGGACGGCCTCAAAACAGATACGCCCTAGCAAAAACAACCCTGCTGCCCACAAAGAGCAAAGAGAACGGCTTCCCTTTAGACTGATTCCCACACTCTATGGGCTGGTCTCAAAAAAGTGAACCCCTCCAAACAGAGCTGCTACGAAGAAGTTGCTAACTGATTCCAATGTTCGACCCTTGTGATCACTTGTGTGTCCTCCGCAACCCAAACGAGTGGCTTAGTCATGGGTTCTCTTTGCAACCTGACAGAGGCTACGCTCAAAACAGACATCTGCGGATTGTAAATGATTGTACTGTAACTCCAAAAAGGCATTGTGACCGACATTAGAGTGCGCTGGTTTGACCCCCGGCGACCTCGCAACAGAATTGGCAAAAACATGCCCATTTGGCTTGTCATCATCTCTGCTCACCCCTCTCCTCCAGCATTGTGCGACCGTTCTGCAGGCCGTTGTACACCTTACGCGCAAAGGGTCGGTGAGCCAGGGTTCCCTGAGGTTGCCTTTTAACCATCCTAACACTACTTGAGTGTTGCAACTCCCAAAGAACAGAAACCGACCCGGTTCTCGCATATCACTTGCCACATGGACAACCTCACTTGGATATTCAACCCACGTCGGGTAAGCAGATCAGCTATTAAGTGTTTGATAACGTGGGGACAGCCATGGTTATGGCTTACCTTCTTGTTTGACATTGGTTGAACACCCAAGTAAGCGGGCACCAAAAGAGACCCTTCTGCCACGACTTGAAAACACAACAGCGTTCCCTCCAGGCGAGAAAAAAACAACTACCCTCCCATAAAGACATACATTCTTCCACAACGGAGAGCGAAGCACCAAAAAGTTCAAACAGCAGCACCTGTCAGAAAGGCAACACGCCTTTCTCCAAAACCGATACTCCGTTCTGCGGTGCTCATACGTGGCCGTTCGTCAAAGCAACCCATCCATTTGCTTAAGCTCCCCGAAAGAAAAAAACAAAAGGTTCAGTAGTGACGATAGATTCCCTTTAAAACCAAGAGTGGAACAAGATCACATCCTTAAGAACATGGAACCCCAATGGCTTCCTGAAAAAGGGTACCCTCGAAGAAAAAGACTTCTCAGGGTCATGACTCCCGCCTTGAAAAGCCTCTGGGACTGAGATAAGCCATCTCTTGTGCTTTGCTTTAAGGGGATCCCAACCGGTTCATTCCCAAAGCCCCGGTTGATTCCCCGAAAACCAGCAAGTTGTCTAACTTGTCTTCGTAAGGCGTCTATGACAAAGCCCAAAGGGGGGGAGGGTTTGACCATTGCACCTCACAAATGGAAAACCCTCAACAAGTTGATAAGGCGAAGCCTCAAAGAACACACAGGCCCCGTGATGTTGCAGAAAGCCCAAGTATCCGCCAAAGGGGTTCTGAAAGCCAAGCTGAAACGGGTACCCTCAAAACCAAAAAGCACGCGCGCGCGCACACATACAGCGACCCCTGTGCGTTGCATCACATCCATTTGCTTAAGCCCACTGGATTGTTGCATATTTTATTAAACAACAAAACAACATTTCCAGTAGTGATAGATTCCCACTAAAGCCAACAAGGGACAATCAACCGGGCTGCCCTCAGATCCCCTGCCTAGCTTTTAGTGGGTTAAAGGGAAACTACCAGTAAACACCAAAAGGCTAAAAAGCTAAGGGGATGGCTGGGAGCAACGAAGGAAAATCAAACACATGGAATGATCAACTTCCGAGGCGCGGCCCGCGCTTCCGTGAGCGAGACCGAGTTCCGGCGCTTTCCGGGCCTAAGCAAGTCCCTTGCCACCGAAGGTCCTGTTTTTGTCGGAGAATGGAGGTGAGCTATTGACATGGTTGACGTTGAAAGGGGAGCAAAGCCTTTTTTTTTGCAGTTAAGTGGGGATTTGGGATTTGCCACTAAGCCACACTTGTCAAAAATGCAAAATGTTTCGCAAAACAACCAAGTTGAGAAAAGACGATGACGATCTTGCGCGGTTTTAAGTGAGTGGGATCCGCTGAGATGTGTAAACCAAGCTTCTACCTTCACCCTTCATTCCTTTCCCCCCTGGAATCGGGACGCTGCGAGTTGGATGGCTTCTGGATGGGAATTTGACCGGTTTCTGCGTGGAAATCCTCCGAAAACCAGTGCAACTCCAGCCATATCCCGTCAAATTCCTCTCTGGAAACCAGTCAAATCCTCCACAGTCCCCATAGAAGCAGATCGCATTCCCCCCCAGAAACCGGTCAAACTCCCCTCTAGGAAACATGGCTGTGATTGGGATAAACTGAGGCCAGTTTTTTCGTGTAACATGTTCTTCGTGCGCTGACAAGGCAAGTCGCCCATTGGTTCATCCGGTTCAAGTGTCCAACGTGGGCAGACATGTGCGGGAGGGTCCATCCTTGCTGCTACGGTGTTTGCACAGTTGCAACCAGGGGTGGAAGAATGGGAGCCAAACAGTCTTGCAGTTGCCAGTTTTTGGTGGGTCGCGGACCCGCACGAAAAAAACTAGGGATGTAGAGGGTGCCACAGAAGAGAAACATGGGCCCATTGTCAAGCCACTGATGATCCCGTCACTCTCTTGCTTGGCTGGCCATTGACTGCGCTAAACAGGTCTCGCTCCAGAAAGTCATTTTTTGCCGGCAAGCAGCGCATGCAGGAACCTCAAACGGGCAAACAACCTAAAATAAAAGCTATGTCTGGCAATGACATCTTACACTCCCTCACGCACGCACTTGGAACTTGAGGTCCCTGGCAGGATGTGTCTCAAAATCGGTTCTCGTTTTGACGAAAGCCAGGACGATGACCATTCAAATGGCCCCAAGTTTCAGAAATTCCCATTGTTTCTTGAGGGCTCGGACCGCATAATGGGCGTATTCCCCTGCGTTGCCGTTTGAGACTAAAAAAGGGTACGAGTATTGCTGCTTCACAAAACTGGAGGTTTGGATGCGCTGTGGACTTCAGCTGTTCTTCCCCCTGTTGGTCCTTTCTTAGTAATGCATTCTTTTACTACTCTTTACATATTCTAAGCGCTGGATCCACAGATTCGCCACATCCAAACCGTTTGGACGAGGACATACGAGGACCGTGTGCTTCCCTTCGCGGGCCACGTGGGTTTCTTAGGGCCCTCACGACAAGGGCTCTTCTTTCGCCTCGCCCTGGCGTGACAAGTGCTGTGGACATGCGGCTTCTGGCGAGTTTGGCGAGTTTGGAACGTGCCCTTTTTGTGTTTATTCTTTCTTTTCTTTTTTTGGTCGACCGCATTTTTTTTTTTGGGGGGGGGGCTGCATGAAGGTTCTCTCTATCACGGTTGGGTGTGGATTTCAACACCGCATGCACCATCAACGCAACTGGACACCAAACTACATGCAGACATTCATGCCAACAGATGCTACATTCATCCTGGAGTATGTCCGCAAACAACAAGTTCAAACTACGGAACCTTGGAGTTCCCAAAGCCACTCGTCGAGTCGTAGGCGACTTTCCCTTTTGCACCGGCTCCTGTCGCCAATGGTTTCAACAATGGAGCTTCGGTTTCCTGTCGGTTTCCCTTGAAGCCGGGCTGTTGTTGCCGAAGGGGCTGGAATGAACCAGAATTGGTGGCTGAAAACCAGGAACAAATCAAATCGGTCCAAAATCATCAAATTGCTTGACATCAAACCTTTGCCCCATGTCCACATCAAGGGCCACAGGACAAAACGTAGGAAGATGACCTTCGAATCTAAGAGAAGCCCATATGCTTGGCCCATTTTGTGGGATTGTCCCTTACATACAACACATGGGGACCTGTTTCTGGGGATATGTGGGTATTCTGTTTGTGTACTGTCTTGGGGGTTGATACTTCGTTCGGAATATGTATAAACATATTGTTCGTGTAATCTTTTCGGGGGCTAAAGGGAAACCAAAGAGAGCCATAGAGACAAACGGCCATTCATCTTGTGGTCCAGGCCGGCGCGCCGGATCCCGAAGCCGCCTTCCGCTCCACCAGGAGCCGCGCGCGGCTCCAACGACTTTGTAGCTCCTGACTCGGCGAAAAGGATTGTGATTGCCCAAAGCAGCCGGTAGAACAAGGACACCAATTTGCCTAGGGCTGGGGATGGGTTTCGGTTCTTTCGGGTGGCTTTGGAGTAGGGTGGCTGTAGAGTAGGGTGTGTGTTTGATTGTGTGTGTTTGTTTGTTTGCTTGTTCGTGTGTTACAACGAACGGCCCCCCAAAGATGTTGGCATTTGGAGGGTGGTTTTAGGCTTTGGGGGGCCCTCCAAAATGGTCACAGGCTGTTAAAAAATCTGGGGGCGAAAGCTGGGTCACACGTGTTTTGCCGGGCTTTTCTGCAATTTGTCATCTCTGGCTCATGCTTGGCAGTGAACGGGAGAATTAGGACAGCCTTGCTTTCATGCATACATGGTCAAAAACCAAAGTTTTTGTTGCGTAGTTGCAGTTCAATTGCTCGAAAATCTGAACCAACAAGCTGAAGACAACGGTCGCGGCTGAAATCCTTCCCAATCGGAAGCCGATGCCTCCAAACAAGCTGTGCGTATGGCGAAACACATTAGTGTGAAGCTGGGTTGTTGCCACCCTGTGTCCATACATTGAGCCCCCACTATGCTGCAAATGGGTCGTTTTCTTGCTCTCGTCACAGAGACTCTTCTAGCAAGATCATGTTTGCGCAAGCCTTTCGTAACGACGGTAACATCCTCCCCCCCACCCCCCTCCCCCACCCAACTCCCCCCCCCCACTCACAACTACAACTCGACATATCATAGCCCAAAAACAGCAAACAGCAAGAAAAGCACCACAAGAACCAGGTTTGTTACCAGCCTGTTTCCTCCAAAATGGCACGGAATTGTCCTTTTGGCTTCCCTGAAAAGGGCACCAAAACAGGGGAACGAGACAACCCTGGCTATGACTTTCAAGTAGGACCCACGCTTTCATGGCCACCAATCACTCCTCCAAAGACAATTCAGTGACCCCCTTGGTTTCCTCCATTTGCTCAAGTCCCCTGGACAAAATAACATACTTCCAGTAGTGATAGATTCCCTGTAAAACCAACAGGGGAAAAACAAGCTTAAGCAAATGGAAGGGTTTAGTGCGGCAATTGGGTCCCGCCCCCTTGCGTTCCCGTCATCCCCAAGTTAACAGCAGACGAATAATAGTTTAACTTACTCGTATGCTTCGCTCGGACAAATGTGTGTGTGCTTGCATGTTTGAGGCGAAGGGTAACCCTTTTGGGGTCGGTTCAACGCCGAAAAGAAAGCGACGTGGTGTGGATTGGTGGTTTGGAGGGTCAATACCCCCCAAACTTCTCTTGGCGCATTTGCAACTGCTTCATATGAAAAGTCTGCATCCGAGTCATGATTCCAATGCAGACTCCCATCGGTGGCCCTCCAATGGACAGCCCATAGTGACCCATTGGAAATTCAAAAACAGTCCGATTTTCGAGGCGTCCCCAAAAGCAGTTGTGAGTCGGGATCCTTACTTGGGTGTTCGGCCAAGTTAGCAAGTTGTTGGTAACCTAGGCTGTCATCCACTCATAAGGCCCCCTAAGTGGGGCTCCCCCCGTTACTAAGGTTGGTTATTACGCAAGCGTCGAACCATGGCAACAAACACCCATGTGTGCGCAAGAAGCAAACATATCTTCGGAGGACACTAGGTCCGTGGCTAACTTCCTGCCTGCATCTGCTCCCGAATCTCCTTCTGCTGCACTGCCTGACAAGTAAGCCGTTCGGCACATTCCACGCACTTGGAACCCTTTTTGCTTTTGGGGGTTGCCATTGTTGAACGGGAAACCAACAAACACGGCCGTTCCCAGACACTTGGAACCGTCTTTGCTTTTGGGGGTTGCCATTGTTGAACGGGAACCAACAAACACAATGGGATTTGGAGGATGCCACTGAACAACTTGGACTCGCACTTGCACGATCAGCTCACTTATATGCCTTTGGTTATCAAGCCCCTGCAAATATTGCCCACATGTTTCACGTGGGGCCGTGTCTTGAACCGGGTTGCTCCAGCATTAAATCACAATCCAGTTGCCGCAGCTTTTCTGATCAACACAAAGTGTCAGAGTAACCAGGGGTTGAAGCCACTGCAAACTTGCCGCACGTGTACAATTTCCCCCTTTTGATTGCTTGATGATAAGATTAGAGGATGCCCCGGTTAAGGAGGGGGTCCTACCCTCCGTGGTTTCTAAGCGGTGGTATCTGCTGTCAACACCGGACAAATCACCCTGGAAAGTTAGGGTCCAAGGCGACCCAAGTGAGAACCAGCGAAAGCATCGCTCGATTCGAATCTCAGATTCTGAGGGAATCACACCGAACTGAACCATCCCATAGAGCTTCATTCAAGGGAATCCGGTTCACTCCCAAAAACCCCGGTTGATCCCATCAGGACCAGCAACTCGCTGTTTTTGGTAAACGGACGAAATCCAAAGGTAAAACACAGGGGCTCTAGGGGGGTGACTCCCCATTCTGTTCAACCATCCTTCTTTTCAGAAACAGATCCCTGTTTCGCCCGAGTGTTGGATGGTTTCCTCAAAAGCATTGAATCCCTGAAAGAACCGGACATGCAAGCTTCCCCCAGATAGGAGATGTGGGGTTAGCAAAAAGGGGCTGGGCTAGCAACAAAACTTCCAACAGTCCCCTGGCCAGCAAAGGATGAACCAGGGAAGACAAACCCACAGGTAAACCACCCAAACTCCTTTCCTGATTGGTCAGACTTCCTGTTTACCACTAAAAACGGACTCAAAAAGTGCAAAGTCCAGGAACTCAAGAACTGAGCAAAGCCAATATCAAACCCTAAGCTTCCCCGAGAGGTACTTGCTGGTACTCAGCAGGGCATGAGTTGGAATGAACCCTTATAAACCATCCAACCGGTGGTTTCCTTTTCTCGGGAATCCCCCGGTTCGTTGCATTTCTCCTTCTTTGCATCTCAGCACAAAGCACAGCATCTCATTTACCTATCGGTTCATGTGGCCTCGGAGGGGGAAAAGTTCCAAACCCTAGGCTTCACCCGTCGCCTGTTTGTGCACCGCCTGCAGCTCCTCTCGCACGTTCAGCAGCTTCAGAGCCACCAGGTCCTGCAAGCCAGACGCTTCCCATCGAGCGGATTGATGGTCCAAACTCCCAACCCCAAAAAGTTTATTGAAAGTCAAGGAACTCCGGGAGTGTGGGGAAAAACATGGAGGCCAGTGCCAGTCCTCGGAACCAGCTCAAATATGTGTCTCCAATGTATATATATATATATGTATTCATATGCACACTAAACCAGCATGCAAGCAGGAACAAATACAACAACTTAAGCACAACAGCAGGACAAATACCACAACACACGTGCACAAATGCTCCAAAAGTATCAATATCCCCCAAAACAGGGGAGCTATACAACAATCCCAAGCATACCAACAGTTTGGGCAAGATTTGCATCATGGTCAGGGGCGAATGCAGTTACCAAACCTTACCCACGTTGTTGGGGTCCCGTTAAAAAAATAGTATGTATAGGCAACGGGGTGGGAAGCCTGCGTATGGACAGGAGCCCACATGGAACCATTTATCATGATACCATTTTCACAAACAGTTTAACAGCCGAATCCCCTTGAGGCACAATCCATGCTTGGCAAAGGGGTATATCTAAAACCATGAAAAAAAAGCCGCCTGCACCGATTTCTGGCTGGAAATTGACCTTACCCTTCATCGGCGCAGTTTTGATTCTGGATCGCCTGTGGATTCTGCTAGCACTCTACAAGTCTTGTGGTACTCTTAACAAATGCTCAACAAAATAATAGTTCTTGTATTGGCATGCCTCCAAACTAGGAAACCCATACTTGTGGAAATCAAAGAACCACATTAAACAAAACAAACACAGAAACCACACAACAAGCTGGGATCCCGGATGAGAAACATTCATGCGAGGCAGTTTCAGCGAAGCCGCCTCGTCGGGCGGATTTGGTTCCCGTGTGAAGGTGCGCATCCAAAGCCACGGTAAAGAACCCCTAGGGGTCCCTTGGTACGTGAGGATGTACAAAATGACCATGTAAAGCGCCCTCTTGGGTTTTTGTCCTCGGGAACCAAACGGTGTTGTCTTCTTGTCTCCCACGGTGAGACTATCCTCTCACTTTCCGAGGTGATCGGCACCAAAGCTACAAGGGCTTTTTAGTGCTTTGAAGCTCTTACAAGAAGGTTGTTCCAAAAGCAGATGGGCACAGGGGAAGCAAATGGGTTTTGGTCCTTGGCAGCCGGGAGCAAATGATTGGCTGCCACACATGAGCATCGAAATCTGAGATTCAGGGGTGAAGGTGGGGTATGAGTTTCAATGCCCCATCTGGCTGTGGCTCAAAATTAAAGGGCTGGGGTTACGCAGGTTTTGGTCCATGTTTCCACTTACCAGGGTTCCATTTTGGAATTCCGGTTTTTTGAGCCACTGCCATCTGATGTTCAAGCCCATTTCAGCTGCATGTGCAACCGAATCTATGGCCGCACACCGCCATGGTCGAGCACTGGATCCCAGTTCCAGCGGGTGTTCCAGCGGTTCCATTGCTTCGGTCTGTCTGGGCTCGGAGGTGCGAGGCCACCCCTGCCTCGAGCAAGAGGCTGTCGGAGCTTTCCAGCCTGGCGCTTTTGGGGAGCTGGAAGATGGATAAGTGGCAGCCGCTTTTTGGGAGGTGGAACATGGATACCTTCTTAAAGCAAGGCACGGTGTTGGGCGCCCAAATCTCACGTGTCTTCTCAATGCAAAGCACGTTTGGATACCCTCGGCACCCTTCGGACAATAACTCGGCGTGCGTCGGGGATAGCGTTCTGTAGGTATTGACTGCTGAAACTGATCTCCAAAAACATGTGATATCATGTGATGACCAAGGGGTATTGAATGACAGGTATTGAACGTCAAGCCGACAACCTATTAAATACATATTGAACGGTGAATTCAACGAAACGTGCACCCCTAGTAGCTCAATATAGCAGGGTTTTGACTCAGAGCCGAATAATAGAGGCTTCAAGAACACCCAAAAACAACCAACTACTAAAAGTCTTGGGGTCCACAAGGGGACCGTGCCTGCTTGAGGGCAGCCCCCTCACCCGGCAGCACTAAAAGAAAACCGAACGGTTTGGTACGCACAAATTCTCTCGCAAGGAAAGTAACCTGCCACAAAGCACTTCCCGAAAAGCCTTTTAGAGCATTCCCGAGGTGCTACTTGTTGAGTTTGATATTTTGTTTAAGCAACATAGTTGCTTTTGGTTGCAATCTTAAGCACGGTTGTGGGAAGCGGGCCATTGAATGTTAGTCGTGGGAGACATGTGGGGTGTTCACATAGATGCCAGGTCATCATTAATAGTCCCCCCCCCCACCCGCACCGGCGGGCTCCTGTCCGAGCAGCGCCCAACACCGATTGGAAGCGTAGGTTTATATACGCCCTCACCATCGACCTTATCAGGGTTGCTCCAAAGACGGCAGGGTCTAAACATGTCTAAACATTTTGGCATCCACTATGAAACGAAGCCAATCCAATGTACTACCCTGCTGATCACCTAGGAGACGCTCGGAGCAACCCAAAACATGTCACAGGTGTCACATGGGTTCCCTCTCAATAGATACACGTACCATCTGAATAAAATATCCTTTGCAGTGACCTCGACTCCTTAGTGATTAGGGCCATTGTGCTCGCCACATCGCCTTCACAGTAAACGACAAATCATGTTGCATGCTGACTTGCCCTTTTTGTGTTCACATGCGTACTATATTTATGAACTGCAAACACAACAAACAAAACACAAACAAACAAACAAACAAACAAAAACAAACACGCAAACAAGCAAGTTTGCACCAGGCAAGCAAGCACGCAAGCAAACACGAAAGCACGCCGACAAGCAAGCAAACAAACACACCCGCAAAGAAGCAACTCAATCACAAACAACCAGCCAGAGACAAAATCAAACAAACACACAGGCCAAGCAATAAACGAACAAACAACCAGACAGACAAACAAACAAACAAGCAACCACGCCAATAATGTATTGCGTGGGGAAGGTTCAGACCTGAAACAATCCCCAACTTGTCCAGCCGCCTGCTTTGGATGTCCTTGACTGTCTGGATGTTCCATTTGTCCACCTGAAGAATCTGATTGAAGTGACATGTGTCGCAATCAACACCAACACCTGGGGGTTGATCAAAAGGTCCTTTACAGGGAACAACCATTGTTGAAAATCACTAAATAGATGATATTTCCCATGTTCACAGGGCGGCTGCACTTATTTGTGGTTGGGACTGGCCACTGAGTCCTTCAATTGCCCAGGTGTTGATTGCGCAAATCCTTAAACTATTATCTGATTGGTGGCTTACAGGGCAAGCCTCAATAGGTCATTTCGAGAACCCCTCAAAGTGTTCAACTCACATGGACCGATCTAGCGATGGCCTTTTTGTCACTTGTTCGAGACAAGTCTGGCATACCTGCAAGAAGAAAAGACACCTGTTTTGTGGGTGAGGGGTCCCAAACATGCATGCTTTCCAACAAGGCAGTTTTCAAGGACACCCGTGCCGGCGCTCACATAGCTGACAACTGAATGGCTATGCCCATGCCACCATCCCGGCAGGCGTTTCTTTGTGGGGGTGGATTAAAAACAAACAAAAACACAGCATGATCCTCCCATCATGTGCTACCCTCCTACCCACTAACAGGGAACCTGACGTTTTTTTTGAGGGGATGATTGTCTCTTCTGTGCCTTCGAGAGGTTCCATGAAAACGGCAGGATATCTTTTCCAAAAGCCCAGCCCCATCAGTGATTCAGTGACCCTGGTCAATGAAGGGCACCATCATTTTTGGGGTTGACCATTTGCGGAGAAGCCGCTAAGCAACAAGAGAACCATAAAGGTGCCACTAAACAACCTGGCGACGTGTATTTCCGAAAGGCCCCGCAAAAACCCACAACTCACTTCTGATCGAGTGGAGTGGCCAAAGCAACCAACTCGCTTCCTGAGGGGATTGGCCAACACAAGTCCAACCTTTCATTTACCACTAACATCATTAGAGTTAGGCCCAGTTATAGAACGTATGTTTTATTGTTTGCTTCACTCTGAGTCACTCGTAGAATGCAAAAAACAAATCCTAAGTCTACCCCAGCTAGTGTTCCACCACCTTCAAGTCCAGGAACTCGAGTGCGCCAAACAAAAGTTGATTGCCACTGGCCAACGAGTTCGAGCGGAACTCGAGTGAAAGATTCGAGGGGGTGCGATGGTCCAAAAACTCGGTTGCGGCCGAAGGCACGCTGCCCTCCATCTGCTCCCAGTGGGCTTCTTGGAAATCCTCCAGCATCCTGGCCTGAAAATGGGCCGCTTGAGGCCAAGCAGCTGGGGGCTGTATTACGAGGGGCTGCGATTTGCCTTAAACAAACGCATTCAGTCTGGTTTCCTGTTGGTAACAGAATGATTTGTGGGCTATTCAAAACTGGGCGGCAAGTGGCTAGCCCAGCATTCCGTTTGGACAGACTTAAACCCCTCGGGTTTTTTGGAGGTGTGGCTCTGGGGTAGCCACTTAGGCTCGGTCCCGCACTTGAGGGGTGAAGATCCGAAAGCGATCAATATTCAGCGGGTGTCCCCGAATGACACTCGATCTCGGCTCTTGGAGGTTCGGCCAAGTTGGCAAATGGATAGATTTGGGTTGTATATAATGTTGACCCAGGATTAATAAACCCCTATTAATCAACCAGGGGTTTATTAATCCGGGGTTAACATGAACTCACTATTAACAGAAACGTGGGTTCACTCCACTGCGGGGGAAACCAATGTTATATTCCAGGTTGCTGGCAGCTTACTCACTTCGCAACGAACCTCCCAAGTACCCGATTTCCTCATGGCAATGTCGTAGCCTGACATCTCCCCGCTGAGAACAGAGTAAACTCGACAGACTTTGATTGGATGGGCTACAGCATACCACCGACTTTCTAACGTCGCTCAAGATCCAAGTGGGATTCAACACTTTAACGCACACGCGTGGAACATAGACCCCGTGTTCCCTTCATGAACCGAGAGCTCTGGCGGGTTCCGTGTGGACCGGAGGACAAATCTTGCTGCGTCTGTCGGGGTTCTTGCATAGCCATCGCTTGCTATCCATGTCATCTGTTCTGAGTGGACTGAAGGCTAAGTCTGACGCTGACAACTCTCACTTGCCCAAAGGAGCCAGAACCAAAAGGTGATCACCTTTTGGGGCCATAAATAAACATGGACCAAAAAGGGAACCCAAGAAAGGTCAAACCGTCGATTCGCTTTGAACTAAGAACTCCATGGCTCTTTTTTCATGCGCCAAACCGAGGCTTCGGCGATACTGAGCACCTCTTGCAAGATTTCGCACCTCGTTTGCAGCTCTTCGCCTGAGCGGGTGGGCTTGGGAATATGGGGGGTGTCTGTTTGTCATACAGCATGGAGGAAAGATACAAATGGGTCATTTGAAGTAATTTCAAGTTTGGTCGGGTGGAAATCGCCACATTGTTTGTGTCTGTTTTGTCTTACATGGAGGAATGGCGAGAGACAATTCGCTGGTCCCACCAGCTCCAGGCATTCCGCGAAGGGGGGACTTCCCCTGCGGGAACCAACGAAAGGAAGCCTCACGAGTGAGCTGGCGCCGCTCATTGATCTTTGCATAGTGGCTTGTAGGGCCATGCTGCCTCTGCAGCTTGCGCCTCTTCTCTGAAGATTTCGGCCCACTGCCATGTCGTGGACGCCTCCACACTATTTTGGTTTTCGTTTTTTTTCTGTGTGTGTGTGTGCGTGTGTGGGGGGGGGTATGCTCAGGTGCAGTGTTTGGGGATTCTCGCACTACTTTCCTCGCCGCAGACGCACTACAGTGGACAAAATCGACTTCGCACTTGTTGACATAGATAAAACCTTCAAATGACGGGACAAACCTAGCAACTTGTGCCTGGCGTGGATGTCCTATGGCCACAAAGTGCGTCCAAAGGTTCAAGTCGTGCAAATTCACTCGAGCCAACTGGGTTGGCCATGGGCCTCAACACGCTTGACAAAACAGGTCCAAAGGATGAGCCTCGGAGCAGGTCAAAGCTCTGACACGCGGATGCCACTCGCCAAACTGCATGTTTATCGAAGCGATAGCTATCGTTTTAGGAGTGTTGAAGTTTGGGCAAGCAAACTTGATGGTGCTCAGTAGGAAACCACAAGGGATCGTTTATGGGGGTCATTCTTTGCTTCCCTGCTGAGCCCCAGCAAGCAAAGCGGGGACTGGATAAAAGCAGGGAGGGCAGAGTCCAAAAAAGCCGGTCAGTCACGTCTGCTCAGCTCAATCAATCTGATCCCTGCTACGTTGTTAGCTTAAGAATTGAACTTCAGAAAAGAAGATGGCCCTAAACACATCTAAACAAGCGCCAGCTGTTTCTAAACAACACGAACCAAAAAAGGACACTTGTGGTCTGGACATAGGTCAGCAGACCCCCCCGCCCTGCCCAGAAACAGATAGAAGATGTAACAAACACGAGCCCTGTGGATGGGGACTCTGAGAAAGGGCCATACTCAGCTTGGACAAGGCACAATCCACCGCGGCCAAATGTGCCGTTTCTTTCCACCCGATGCTGAGCTACACAATTGGCATTGGACTTGTTCAACATGGACAGAGTTGCCCTGATGGCCTTGATAACCTGGGTGTGGGTCAAAAATCGGTACCCAACATGGGTTGCCCTGGTAAATGGAAGGCCTAAAAGCTGCGGTCCACTGGTGGTTTATCTTAGAAACAATACCCATCTATTCAAAGGACAACACTCACTAACTGTAGGCACCCTTCAACCCTGAGGAAGAGTTGTTCAACTTAAACAAAGCCATACTCATTCCCAGTTGCCCAGTTCCCGTAAGGGAACCCTTGGAGTTGACCATTTAGGAACCAAACCAAAAGGAATTTGGTTTTAGCCCGGGATCCCTTGAACAAATGGGCATCTGCTTCGTATATGCATATTGAGAACCTTATGTGGATGCTCAACCTACTTACTAGGCAGGGTATACCCTCGCTTCACTATCATGAGAGCTGGCGGGGTTTTCAAATGTCTTGCTTTTGGGGAAGCCATGTGGTTGTGCGTCCACTATCCGCTGTTGTCCCATTTACGACCATCTCTCATTGGAAATCGGAAAAACAAAAAAACAAAAAGTCCCAACTTTGTGCTTGCCACTTTACTGGCACAATGTCCAAAAGCTCAGGGAGGGAAAGACACAGGTTTGCCGCAAACAAGAAGTTCGGAAAATGCTTGGTTTCGTCTCGGTAACACCCTAACACCAGCCAAGAAAAGGGACTTCCCCCCACAAAACCTTGAAAACCAACCCAAAAAAGAAATGTCTTCCCCCCAAAAGAAGGACCCAGCTTAGCGCACCTGCTTAGTTGGCTACCTGACGTCCGACTGGCCGCAGTCGCCTGCGGGTTTTGAGGTCCCGGGCAAAGGCAGACGGGGGGAAGGTCCTCAAACTGCTCGGCCATCTCTTGGCACTTGGCTGCGCGCTCCTGAGGAGTCGAACGTGGGCGGAGGATTTTGTCCGGGAAGCCCCCCATGTTCCTTTCAAAAGCCACCTCCCAACAAAATGTAAAATGGGGTTTCAGGGGGACCCCAACAATTGCGGGGGGTTCCTTGTGGGTTCCATCGAGGGGTTTGCCAAGGTGGGCGGAGGATTTTTAGGGAACCCCCAGTGTCTTTTTAACACACAAGGCATGGCATAGTTCCCTATACCTTCTTTGGCTTACATGGCCTTGCCAGTTTCTGGCTGACCTTGCCTCTGCATAGTGTCCCTTTTAAAACTGGGGTGTTGTTGGGGTTCCCCCCAAAAAAAACAACAACAAAAAAAACAACAAATAAGAAAGGGTACCAACTCAAAAGGACAGACCCAAATGTGCTTTTATGACAGTGCCCTTCTTCTCGATTCCTGCGTGGATTGCCAACAACAATCCAAACTTGTTGTGAGCCACTAAAATGGTCTTGCCAACAAGTATAAGGTCCAGGAATTCTGGAAGTGAGTC